GCTAGATTAAATGTCCTTGACTCTGCGATATTGTGGGGAAGGTACAGGGGGGTACCATACGCCCAGAGAACATGTCATTGTGCCATGGGTGTGGTTGAGTCCACCGAACACATTCTCTTGACTTGCCCTTCTTATGCAGAGCTTAGACAAAATTTTATAGACCCACTCTTATGTCAATTCAGCCTCCTACCCGGAGAAAACCAGGTTTTACACTTGCTGAATAACGCCACTAGAGCTATACCTTCCTTGGTGGCCAAATTTCTCTTCTTAGCTTTTAAGCGTCGCAAGACTATAATTGACTGTATTGATATGGGGCTACCTGTTTAGCCCATTTTAGTGTTGACTAAGTTTTAAAATCTTCCTGGATGTTTTTAACTGTGTATTGACAAAATGTACTTTTTTCTGACTGACGGTCGAATAAAAAGGATGATGATGATGACAGTCCAGGGGTCAAGAAAGCAGAGTCCAAGGTCACGGAAAGCAAGAAGCAGCAAGGTCTGGCCAGGAACGATAAATGTTGTTCCAGTAACTGACTGAGCCTGGAAACCCTGCATAAGAAAGCTGGAGCCAGCTGGTTCTCGTCAGGAGAAAGAAGGCTGATCAGCAGCAGAAAGGAGTCACTTCCCCTTCTGCTTTTCTAGGCTGCTGCTCAGCAGGTGAAGCTGACTCCTGACTCCACCCCCATCATTCTGCCCGGAAACTGAGGTCCAGTGCTGAGGGCCTTATGGTGGTTCCCTCACTGCGAGAAGCCAAGTTACAGGGAACCAGGCAGAGGGCCTTCTCGGTGGTGGCACCCGCCCTGTGGAACACTCTCCCACCAGATGTCAAAGAGAAGAACAACTACCAGACTTTTAGAAGACATCTGAAGGCAGCCCTGTTTAGGGAAGCTTTTAATGTTTAATGTTTAACAGACCACTGTATTTTAATACTTTGTTGGAAGCCACCAACAAAGCCCAGGGTGGCTGGGGAAACCCAGCCAGATGGGCGGGGTATAAATAATAAATTATTATTATTATGACAGTGGCAGATCTTGGGGTCTCAAGTTTCAGTGGTACTCTGTGTGATGCCAAAATCTCCCATCTCTTGCCTTGCATTCTGCATCATAGTTGTGGCGCCCCCTGCAGCACCCCCAAGGCTCAACAACCAGTGCAACACTCCCCTTAATCTGCCTCTGCAATGTGCTTGAACAGGTGTGTGCTTCCACACCTGTATGGTTTTGCAAAGCAGGTTAATTTCTCAAATGCTCAAGATGTCTTTTCAGTCACACTGCTATGAAAATAGTTTTCTTTCTTCCCCATATAAGCCAACACTCTGGCCTCCAAAGGTTTCTTGGTCTGTTTTCCTTGTTACTGAACCGTCAGATTGGCTTTCATATTTTCCCCTTCACCTTTTCTTGAAGCTTATCCGAATAATCTGGGCCCTCAAAGTGTCAAGCAGGATGTACATGTGGGAGTGAGAGAGATGATGGGAGAGGTCTATAAACTCCTCTCACTCCATTTGTTCTGTAAAGTCTGTCATTGTTTGGTAAAATAGACCAGCTATTATGCCTGTATCACAGCTGTGGGCCTGAGACAGGGAGAGAACAGTAGCCCATAGCTGTTTCCCTTTTTTAAAGGGAAATTCCCTATTTCTGAATAAGATTCCTCGCAAGAAAAGGGAAAAGTTGACAGCTATGCAGTAGCCATCTAGTGGAGTTCATGGGATGTAACTTAATCATTAAAATCCTCTTCACGATTGTCTCGTTTCACCCCAAGGGACAAAGTATATGCTTAAAAACAACAACTGTTTTGCCTGAAGTTGTGGAATGGCTTCAAGTAGAGCAGAGTCTTGACTCCTTATGAAGCCATGGTTTGACTAGTCTGCATGTTCAGACTAAGGTATTAAAATGTGGTGACAGTGTTACCTTGGTGTGAAAACACAAATTGAACTGATAGTATTCAAGGAAGTTTTACTCAGAGTGCAGCCTTTGGGATCACTTTTAGTCCCATCCATTAGTTTCAGTGGGTCTATTCTGAGTATTGGATATGACCCAAGCTCTCTGAAATCCTACATTACAAACAAGGTGGAAATGAAGGGTCTTCTCAGTAGTGGCGCCCTCCCTGTGGAAGCCCTCCCATCAGATGTCAAGGAAATAAACAATGATCTGACTTTTAGAAGACATCTGAAGGCAGCCCTGTTTAGGGAAGTTTTTAATGGTTGAAGTTTTATTTTGTTTTTAGTGTTCTCTTGGGAGTCGCCCAGAGTGGCTGGGGAAACCTAGCCAGATGGGCGGGGTATAAATAATAAAATAATAATAATAATAGTAATTATTATTATTATTATTATTATTTTATCAGATCCCTCTCTGTCTGTTGGCAAAGTGGGAGGAGGTAACCAAATGGGAGAAGGAAACAAAGATTTCCAGGAGAGGTGATGTGACTACAATTTTATACCTCAGAATAACTAAAGTAAGGTCATCAACATGGTGCAGTTACTCTTCTAAAAACCAAATCAAAGAGTGTTTGCATTTTGCTATGAACACCTCATATGTAAGTTCCATTATGCTCTACAGTGATGCATATGGCAATGTGTATTGGTGATTTCAGAAAATAATTGCAGTGGTACCTCGGGTTAAGAACTTAATTCGTTCTGGAGGTCTGTTCTTAACCAGAATGACCACTCCCCGCATAAACGGGGGGCGCCCTTTGCGTGGACGCGTGCAGCCCCTAGATCTGGAGCGGCTCCATCAACACAGGCTTGGCTTCGCCTTCCCCCAAGTGGGATACCTGGAGGTCTCCACCTACCTCAGTCAGTTGTCCAATCCCGCCTGGGGGAAGCGTTGCCAAGGAGACCAGGCCAGGTAGGGGAGGGACTACCTGCCCACACAATAGAGGGAGGATCTTACCTTGGAATCCTCACTTGGCTCCAGAGCTTCTCCCACCCTACCCACCCTCAGTTAAGTCTTATTTTGCAGGTTAACTTTTCTTCGCAGGTATGCGGGTGCTGCTACGTTAAGGTCGCTGTTAAAGGGCCGGAAAGGAATTTCCCTGCATTGGCAGGTTTCGCCTTTCCCATAGCAAAACGTCACAACTTTGGCGGTATCAGGCCTTGGGCGGAATCCTTTAGTCCATCTTCCTCTTTGCGGCGGCGATACTAGGGTTCCCCGTTAAAGGGGTTTCTGAAGGGAGGCTTTGACCATACGCCGAAAGGTCGTCATTGCTCTCCCCTGCGGCGGCGGCATAACGGGGGCGGCTATCTCTGCTTGAACATATGTTCTCCAGAGCCGGCCCATCCCCCCCCCACACACTGGATAACCCTGATGCTCCCTAGGTCCCCGGCTGGGGACTGGGGAGGGAGAACGCCCAATGCCTGAGCCAAGGTCTACCCACATCTGAAATATAATAAAGTTGTGGCCAATTTAATCCCATAGCACGTTGTCGTTATTCCACGTGATGGGGGGGGGGGAGCCGCCCAGGATCTGGGGGACTCCGCCTGTCCACGCAAGCGCCACTTTAGCTAATGGGGCCTCCTGCTGCCACTGCGCTGCCGGCATGCGATTTCTGTTCTCATCCTGAAGCAAAGTTCTTAACCTGAGGTACTATTTCTGGGTTAGCGGAGTCTGTAACCTGAAGCGTATGTAACCTGAAGCGTATGTAACCCAAGGTACCACTGTACATGTGGTCTGAAGTCACTTTTTTTAAAAGAGCATGGCTTTCCCCCAGTAGTCTTGGAGAGTGTAGTTTAGCCTCCACACAGTTACAACTCCCAGCACCCTTAATAAACTACAGTTCCCATTATTTTGGGGGGAAAGCTGTGTGCCTTAAATATGCACTGAATGCACTTTAAATGTATGGTGTGGTCCTGAGACATGAAGGCAAGAGGTGAGATTCTCCCTTTGCTACCCTTAAATCATACCCGTGGCTCCATGACTGAGCATCTCAGATTAAACCCACAATTATGCAGGGAGGACGGAGCACATGCTTTTCATGCAGAAGGCCTTAGGTTCACTCACTGGCATTTCCAACTAGAAGCCACCTGCTTCTCAAGACTCCAGAGAGCTGCTGCCAGCCAGAGCCGACAAAACGTGTTCTCCATTAAATGAGAGCACGGGTTGCGGTGTGGGCCGCTGGGCCAGCCCTGTGTTGCCAGGCAGGTTAATGGCTATTTGCCTGGTGCATTGATTGGCTGACTGGGTTGCTGGGGCAAATTGCATGTAGCAAATTGGTGGGTGGGACCAAAGACTTTAAATTTGGGGGCGCTCTGGCTTTTGGTTTCTCTTTAACAGAGTGCATCGGATCACCCGCCCGCCCGCCCTGTGTTCCGGTTGACCTTGCTTTGCCTGTCATGGGGTCGTCTGCCTTGGTGCAGGGGCCTAGTAGGAATTTTGCCATTTGGTTGATTGGCTGGTGCCATTTGGTTTTTGCCTACTACTTAGCAATTCATCACAACTTGTAAGGCTGCGGTTAGGCATTGGTTATAAAAATTGGTGGTGGAGGGGTCAGGATAGGCTGTGCCTGCCCCTCCAATGGTGCTGAAGGGAATTCCGTTAAAGGAATCCTGGGGCTTGCCATGATTTCGTCCAATCCCTGAAATGGGACCAGGGCCGGCAAGCCTTGGGGAGCTGGTTGGGTGAGCGGTGAGGGACTAGTCATAACCAATGTCTAAACAACCACTCACAGATTTTGTATTTTAATAAAGTTGTGGCCAAAATAGTGCCCAAAAACCTAAAACTAAAATTACGTGTGATGTGTGAATTATTTTGAGGGGGTGGCTTGGGGGCCTACACACGCAATACTACGCTGGACGCTCCAATGGTCTAATTAAGAACAAGGCAACTTCATATGCTCCAGCCCTCATCCAGCCTGGGGACTAGTGACATGACTCAAAAAGACTGAAAAAGGATGTCTGAATTCCAGAGAAAGACCAGTGTGAATTGTGGAAACAGTTTTAGCAGACTGGCAATGTACATAAAACCTGTGGGGGGTTTTTTGGAGGAAAAGAAGACAACGAGAACAGCAGACTTAAAAATGACAGTTGCTCTTTATTCGTCACACAGCCTTGCATGGGTCCATAGCCGTTAGAATCAAGCGTTAGAATTCAGTGTTACAGTTCATAAAACAGCAGCAGCAGAATAAGCAATCACCTTTTCCAATTTTGCTTTCACTTCAAAGAAGGAATCAAATGCAATTTTGCTGTTAAAAAATAAGCTCCGTGCATGTTACAACAGAAGGGTGAGAGCAAGATCTTATCACTGGTGTCTCAAAACTATTTCCTTTTGGCAAGATCTGATGACTTTACGGGTCTACAGCTTTACACTGTCTCCATTTGAAATTACAAAGAACATGCTTGAACAGGAGAGAGATTTCAGAAAGTGTGTGTGCAGGCTGATTCGTGCTGCCTGTCTGCCTGGAAGTTCCCATAAGCTTTGATGTTAGCTGTCTATTAAGCATAGCACTGAAAGCTGTTAATTCAACCAAGAACTTAACTTTAAGTGCAAACTTAAATCCGATTGCCGTCCAAAGGACCTAAGGGTGTATTTAAGGTTAACCATCTACTACACAAACTTTTCTAAAATGGGATTCCCTTTTTCACACACACACCTAGGAGCAATCATGCAATCACTGAACAGTGAGACCCTGTAGCTTAGTAGATAATTTTGAGACCTTTGTTTAAAGAGCTCTATGGATGGCTCACGATTTGTCAGAGCACAGGAGCTCACTGCGCACTGGCTGCAGCTGATCCCGGTGCAAAAACCTGCGATCCGAGTCAGCAGTGCTGGATCAGGGTGCAAAGGTCTGGATCCATATGGCAGGCAAACTCAAATGGAAAAGGTGACAGTATCAGAGGGGAAGAGCTTTGCTGAGCTATTTACACAGTGGGCTGAAGAGCTTCGATTTGCAGGTGGCAACGCTCATTGCCATTTCAGAAGTGGTGGTGGTAGTGGCCAGTTAACCCTTTTTAATAGACACTTTTCTTGCTCGAAGTGGTTTTTGATACAATTTTCACACTGGAGCTTCCTCCTCCTCCACTTGAGGAGACACGGCCCCCGCCAGAACTGTAACTGCTACCACCTCCCATACTGACTCCGCCGCCGTAGCCACTGCCGCCGCCGAAACCACTGCCGCCGCCGAAGCCGCCGCTGCCGCCGCCGAAGCCGCTTCCACCACCTCCAACCGCATAGCCGCCACCGCCTCCAAGTCCGAAACCTCCTCCCATGCCGCCACCATGTCCTCCTCCTAACGCAAGGCCACTTCCGCCAGCGTAGCCAGAGGTGGTGGTGCTGCTGACCACGGCTGGAAAATATTAACAACAGAAAGTTAAGTTCCTTGTGTCTCTTGGAAAGAGCCATGATTTCAACAGAATCTCTTTGAACCAATGTTTCTCAAACTTGGGTCTCCATCATCCCTAGTGGCCAGGGATGATGGGAGTTGTGGTCCAACAACAACTGGGGACCCCAGTTTGAGAAACACTGCCTTAAGCAAACAAAAACCAGCAGCTCGCTTTCATTTTCAGAAAGGTAACCAATTTATACTAGCTGCTATTCAATTTTTTCAAGCTAAAGTGTCGTCCCAGCTACCATTTGGGATCCCAATATGGATACAAGCATATAATAGTGATTTAGGTAAGATACACTCAAGTTTCTTGAGACGCATCCTGTTTAGGGAAGTTTTCAATGACTGAAGTTTTAATGTATTTTAAATATTTTGTTGGAAGCCGCCAAGAGTGGCTGGGGAAACCCAGCCAGATAGGTGGGGTATAAATAATAAATTAATCATCATCATCATCATCATCATCATCATCCTGGGGCTCCCAAATTCAATCAAGTATGAGAAGATGGGTGTAGGACTAAGGATATACATGATGGAATATTGGTTGTGGGCTAGCACTATAAAATACTGGCTGCGTTGCTGTTGCCAACCTTTGAGTCTGCTTTCTGACTTATTTAAGAATTCTTAGAAATCCAGATGGTTCCAACTCTTACACAGCAAAATCAGATCTATTGGTATTGACTTGGAACTCTTGTGTAATTCAAGTGAGCAATGTATTTATCGCAATATTCAAATCAGATTAAGGGACATTGAAAAACAAAACATCAAGTCAGCTGTAAATAAAATTTGCTCCCCCAAGTTCTATGGTTTAAATACAACAGATAACAGGGTCACTTATATTTCAAAATTAAGAATTCCAGTCCAATTCAGGGCCTTTATGTTAGCCCAACTGAACTGTTTTCCCCTCAGCTTTTGTCAAGGGCAGATATTTAAACATCCCCAGAAACGACAGACACTGCAGATGTTCTTTGAACGTGCCAGACACAATAGAACACAGTTTTTTCTACTGTCCATTGTACAACCAGCTACGCAAACATGTGCTATTTTGGGTGTCTAACATCACGGCACAAGGAAAATATCAGATTCTATCTGTCTGATATTAACTCAGAAGAAACTGCAAGGGTGGCTGAGTTTTTATCAATAGTATCTCATAGAGTGGTGAATGGCACTATTTTGCGGGAAGAAACTCCAGTGAAAATCCTCGTTATTACATATTTTTAAAATGCAAGTAGATAAATAGGTTCCGCTCTGGAGGGAAGGTAAACGGCGTTTCCGTGCGCTGCTCTGGTTTCGCCAGAAGCGGCGTAGTCATGCTGGCCACATGACCCGGAAAAACTGTCTGCGGACAAACGCCGGCTCCCTCAGCCAGTAAAGCCAGATGAGCGCCACAACCCCAGAGTCGTCGATGACTGGACTTAACTGTCAGGGGTCCTTTACCTTTTTCTTACATGGCTGTTTATTTGTATATATTTTAAAATTTTTATATATGGATGTTTTATGATGGCCGATATTTTTAATGCCTAATAAAGGTTTGGCGAAGTAAGTAAGTAAACAAAAACAAGAAGCAAATCCAGAAACAGAGATGGTACTTACAGTAGCTCACATTTCCAGGGCCTTCTGACAACCTAGGAAGATGAAAGGAGGACATAATTGGTATAATTAATTCAGTGGATGCCTCAGCTTGTAGTAAACTAGGTCCCACATTTTAATCTAATCAAGGAGCTATTGTGAAGGTAGAACTCTTGAGTTGTTATCTGTTTCTTAGCCAAGTAAAAGTTGCATATTCACACAGCATTTTTAAAAAACAAAAACAAAAAACCTGCAAAGAAAATTCAGCTCAATCTCCTTTTTTGGTCATATTGCTAATTGCTTTAAGAATGCATATATGCATGATTCTGTATGTTTGTTTGATTGATTATTCATTTATTTGCTTTTCCTCTATTCTAAGCAGCTAAAGACAGGTAATTTAAAGCAAGCAATTATCAGTTTTGTATGTGTGTGGTTTTTTTTAACTATAAAAGTAACAATAAAATAGGCAACAGGAGTGCAACCCCCACAATAATCACAGTAAGAGAAAGTCACCCACCAACATTCTCAAAAGACCTTCCCAAAGAGCTACAGTTAAACCAAACAGTGGTTATTGCATATGTAATGATAGGACCAGATGGTCCCTCTGGAAAAGGCAAAGGGAATCTGTGGCTCTTCAGATGTTACTGAACTCCAATTCCCACCCTCCCCAGTTAGTATGATGAATGATCAGGGGTGATGAGAACTACAGTCCAAAAACTTTCAAAGGACCATAGGCTGTTATACTTCCTTGCTGTACTGTAGAAGTATTCTTTTCACATCACATTTCAACAAATACTGAGGGTAGCCCCATACCTTGGCATCTAAACACAACTGCACAAGAACATGATATTGTGGTTGGATTGCCAGGAACCTTACTGGCACCTCAGGCACATCCATCAATACCGTCTTTTAGCTTCAAGGTGTGATTTTTGCCTGGATTTGAGGTGAGTTTGGAATGTTCTCTTTGGGGAAAATTTAAAACGAATTTTGACGGAATCTATTCAAAGGGGAGATGACCGATTAGTTTAGTAAACCATCAAGGGCATTTTTGCTAGAGTACGGTTGCTGCTGCCAGCCTACCTGATTTCCTCTCCTTCTAGCAGCTTCCTGTAGGTGGCGATTTCAATGTCCAGGGCCAGTTTGACGTTCATCAGCTCCTGGTACTCCTTGAGCTGCCTAGCCAGGTCCTGCTTCGTTCTTTGCAAGGCTTCCTCCAACTCATTCAGTTTATGCCTGGCATCCTTGAGGGCGAGCTCTCCACGGTCCTCAGCCTCAGCAATGGCAGCTTGTAGATTGGCACACTGCACACAAGGAGATTTATTTATTAATGATACTAATAAGAAGTAACTGAAATATCTGGACAGTTTTTGGGACCATCACCAATAAATAATAATTGTGACTTCAGGACATTTTTTTGGGGGGGGAGCGCTATCACTATGGTCCAATCTTCCCCCTTCCCTACACCAGAAAAAAAAAAAAGTTTCACCCAGTTAGTGTCTAAAGTTTTTGTTTCTCATGCATCAATCAGGACAAAGCAGAAACAGTGGCTCCAGATATTCCAGCCAATAGCCAACATTGTCTAAGGATTAAAGCAGTGCTCTCAAAGATCTGGATGTTGTCTTTCACTAAATCTGCCAATGGCATTAATGGAATCCATGGAGTGCTTTTCAAATAAAGTTTGACTGCAGCTCCTGGAGAGCACTTTCGGAATGGTTGCTGTGGAAGGATGGGACTTCTGCATGAAAACTGTTACAATGGACGTTTTGGGGAAATGCTCCTTCCATCGCTTAATGATTCATGAGTAATCCCAGGAAAGTCCAATGGACAATGAATTCTGATGCAAGCCCTGAAATGGCTATGCTCACATGACCCAAGAGGTATGGACACTGCATGCACAATTCATCTCCTACCAAGATACTGGTAAGAAGGTGTAGATATAAAACCATAATAATAACTAGATTGACTCATTGTAGATACATGCTAGGGGTGCATTATCATGCACCCCCCGAGCATGTGTGTGGGTTGTTCATTTTGTCCATTTTCTGCAGTGCTGGAAATAACCTACATTTGATGAGGGCAGATCTGTCCCCAAGCAGTGAGGATGAGTGCAACTTTTTGCATGTAAAAAATATTATGCTTCAGCAGGGCCTCCACTGTACACTGTATTAGTTCCCTGCTCCCCACAGGTATGCCTCCATGTGCAGACCTGCAGTAATTCCAAAAGCAATGCTCAGATTGTAAGCATTTTCCAGTGTCTATACCCCATGTCTTCTGCACATTTATATATAATTATATATATTTACATATGGGTTTTTTTGTTTTTGTTTTTTGCTTTGCGGTGCCCATTCCCTAAGAGTGGTTTAAAAGGCAAATGATCAATATAAATAATAATTAGGTTTGCTTTGCTTGGCTTGGCAATAAGGGAAAGATACCAACACACTCCTATTGTGAACTTTGTAGGGTGTGGACTCTTTCAGTACACTGTCTACCTGTGTGGTACCTAGGGAAATGTGGAGGAGGAGATTCCTCCTCGCCTTTGCAGTGCCTGGGAGATACTGTAAAACAACTAATTTACGGTTTGTTCAACTCTCTTGCACAGACACCCTGTAGCACTTGTGCAATGAGAGCTGTATTATTATCCGTGATATTTATCAGCACCGTGAAACGGACTGATAGTGATGATTAAACCTTTGTTACAAACAGCATCAACAATAGCAACCAACACCATTTCTAAAGCCAGTTTCAGAGGAGGAGGAGAAAGAGCCGGGCAAATTAGTACTCCCAGACCCTATTTCCATGCATCTCCTGCTGCTTCTGTACCCACTTTGCTTGCCTTTCTTGTTTTGCCACTGCTAGTGCAGCGGAAGCATACTTCCTCATCCTTCCCCTCTCAACTGCACTCTGAGGAAGGGAAGGAGCTTCTTTCTCAGAGCAAGGCATTCTGGAAGAGGTGGCCTGGGAGAGTGCCTGCACTCCCACATTGGGCTCACCTTGGCTAGTGCCCTGTCTTGTGCTTGCCCTGGTATGACCTTGTTGAGGGAGACTTGGTTTGCCCAAAGTGAGTTAGCAGCTACACAATTACTATTCTATGAAACAGAAGCTGCCACTGGTCTGCCCTGCATGCCAAACATAAAAGGATTGTACCTGTTTCTTCACGGCATCAATTTCACTTCGCAGCCTCTGGATCACCCGGTTAAGCTCAGAAATTTCTGTCTTGGTGTTGCGAAGGTCATCACCGTGGCGTCCGGCAGAGACCTGTAGCTCTTCATACTAATATTCAGAGGAAAAGGAGGAAGGATTAGAATCTGATCCATTATATATGGTTGTCACCCCTACAACAGAGCTGGGAAATCAGGTGGGAGTGAGAACTAAATGTAGCCCCAAAGGAGCACCAGATTGAGGGAGGCTGGGACACTGACTTTCAGATGATAGATAAATAAGTGTTGTAAGGTTTCAGTGTGATCAATTGTCACTGCATATGTCTTTTGCTGGGATGTGGGTGGCGCTATGGTCTAAACCACAGAGCCTAAGGCTTGCCGATCAGAAGGTCAGCAGTTCGAATCCCTGCGACAGGGTGAGCTCCCGTTGCTCAGTCCCAGCTCCTGCCCACCTAGCAGTTTGAAAGCATACAGTGCAAGTGCATAAATAGGTACCGCTCCAGCGGGAAGGTAAATGGCATTTCTGTGTGCTGCTCTGGTTCGCCAGAAGTGGCTTAGTCATGCTGGCCACATAACCCAGAAGCTGTCTGCAGACAAACGCTGGCTCCCTTGGCCAGTAAAGCAAGATGAGCGCTGCAACCCCAGAGTCGTCCATGACTGGACCTAACGGTCAAGGGTCCCTTTCCCTTTCCCTTTCCCTATGTCTTTTGCTAACACTTTGAGGCAGCCACAACTGAGACAGGGAATTAGCTAGCAATCTCAGGGTGTTCCATACATCTCTGTCTTGCATCGAATGACACGGTTTTGAAAAGCAAATCTGAGAAGTGAGGGCTCAGCTATTGCTGGAGGCCTGCAGGATCACCAGGCCAGATGTATCTGTCAAGCATTATTTCTGGGTGAAGCTGCATCTATGATAGGGCTGGTGGGTGAACCTCAGCCTGCTTTCTACAAACAGGAGATCTGCTTGCCATCCAGGAGCAGGGCTGGCCAGAGATATTTTGGATCCTGAAGTGGAAAATCTAAATGGTTCTTCTCCTCTTCCAGTTGTGTTTTTTTTTAAAGTTATAATAAAAGAAGTTACTTGCTCCACTTCAATGACACTAAGAATCTGCTGCCTGAGGCAGCTGCCTACTTAATAGTAGGGCTAACTCAACCACAGAGAAAGAAAGCTGCCAAGATTTACTGCGAGGATTTGCTAAGTTTTATTTGCTAAGCCACTCTTCATTCAGGTCCTCTTTCCATTAATACTTTAGGAATGGAATCTCATTGCCACACCTTTTACTTTGCTCTGCCTAGAAAGTCAAGATCAATTCAAGTTCCTGTTTGCTTTCCGTATCTGTGTTGCAGCAGTTTATAATTCCAGCTATTTATTTCTAGCATGGCTTGCTGAGCAGCAGGACAGCAAAGGGGGCATATTTCCACCCCAATCTCAGCCGTTTCACTCTCTTAACTTTTCACACTTCTTTTAAGTGTTGTGAATACAATCCTTATACACTACACATGTTGCAAATCTTTTGATGTTCCTTAGAGAGTCTGACTGATGTATCTCCTGAGGAAGACCCTTCATATTTGCTTCAAATTTGACTTTAAGTTGAACCCAAGAGTATCTCTGAGTATTTACAGCCTGCCTGGTCTACACACGTCAATGAGTTAGGAGGTAAAATCTGGCTGAGGTAGCAGACCAGGGGTCACCAGTGTGGTGTCCTCTAGATGTTGTGGTCTCCAACTCCCACCATCCCTGATCATTGACCATGCCACTGAGGCTGGTGAGAGTCCAGCAACAGCAACATTGACTATCCCTGTACTGCTTTAGGTTGCAGGTGGATGATGCCATTTTGGAATGTTCCCTTATCAAAAACTTTCTTAGCTTAGAGGTAACTCCTAGGCCTTGAGCTGCTACTCACCTTGCTTTGATACCAGCTTTCAGCCTCAGTTCTGCTCCTGTTGGCAATGTCTTCGTACTGCGCCTTGACTTCAGCAATGATGCTGTTCAGGTCCAGGCTTCTGTTGTTGTCCATTGACAGCACAACAGAGGTATCTGATACCTGCTGCTGCATATTAGCTAGTTCCTGCAAAGATAATAAAAATAAAAATGTGTCTGATTGTATGAAGCAATGGAACATGGCAGTTTTGAATGTAGAAAATAACAACCTTCTGTAAATTCTCCAAGCCTGAATTTTTTTTTTTTTTTTAAACATGTTCATTTATATTCTGATTTGGCTTCTACTTTTCACCCTCCAATGTTCCCTATGATGGATTTTGTTGCATTCTGGAATCCACTGAAAAAAGCCAATATAAATGTATTTAGGGAGTTGCTTACTTAACATGGTTGTTATCTAGGTAATTGTACTGACTGAGCAAGGAGATCCCCACGTGGAACCCATTTTTTATGTGAATAGCCAGTGCAGATATATATATGCATCTTCAACCCCTGTCACATTGTGATGCTCATCAAAGCCCAATGAACTAACTGCTTTTTGATCGGCATCCCCAGCCGGTACCACCAATGCTTAAACATAACAAATTGTCTGTGATTCAAACTGCATCAGGGCCAAAACATTTTCACATTCTTTCAGATACGGGTGCAAACTGAACAGGACAATGTGCCAGTTCTACTAACACAGTATTATGAAAACAGTCAGGATTCTTCGGTTTTGGCCTCCAAAAAGGAAGCTGTTGATTTGATGATGACCAAAGTGCACATGAAAAACTGGAAACTCTGGAGGATTATTTTTTCCAATGGCATAGTCAGCGAAGGGACAGATATGTGGGGTCCCACTCATCAGAATGTGCAGGAGGATCCCAAACACAAGACTATCTTACACATCACTATCTAGAAGACTCACTCCCAATAACACCATTCAGTCCAGAAAGTCTAAAATTACCAAACTGCATCACTACCCCCACTTTGCTTGAATTTTGAAACTCTGAACTACAGCATGAATGAAATAACTCCGCAGTTAACAAATCTTCCCCTTTCGAGACATAAACCTTACATATATGTTTTGAAAATTGTAGTCTGATCCTCAACTCAGCTATACATTGACACACAGAGAACAGGCAAGATAAGCCAAAGTCCTATTTTTGTTTGTTCTTCCTAAAGGCTAAGAACATAAGAAGAGCCCTGCTGGATCAGGCCCAATTTAAAGGCCCACCTAGTCCAACACCCTGTTTTCACAGTGGCCAACCGGATGCCTGTAGGAAGCCTGCAAAAAGCCCCCGAGTACAACATCACACTTACCACCCATAATTCCCAGAAACTAGTAATAAATAATAATACTGGGGGCAGGGGCATTGCTTTTGTTTGTTACCGTGCTGTGTATTTTTGTGTTTCGTGCTGTGGGTTAACCACAGAGCCTAGGACTTGCCGATCAGAAGGTCGGTGGTTCGAATCCCGCAAGGGGGTGAGCTCCCGTTGCTCAGTCCCTGCTCCTGCCAACCTAGCAGTTCGAAAGCATGCCAAAGTGCAAGTAGATAAATAGGTACCACTCCAGCGAGAAGGTAAACGGCGTTTCTGTGCGCTGCTCTCGTTCGCCAGAAGTGGCTTAGTCATGCTGGCCACATGACCCGGAAGCTGTATGCCGGCTCCCTCGGCCAGTAAAGCGAGATGAGTGCTGCAACCCCAGAGTCAGTCACAACTGGACCTAATGGTCAGGGGTGCCTTTACCTTTATATTGTAAACTGTGATCCTGAGATGAAGGGCAGTATGAAAACTTAATAAAGAAGAATAAAAAGAATGCTCTCCAGAGGCAGGCAACTTCTGACAGTGGAGGTTAAATGGGGATAGAAAAAACTTGTGGTTTTGTATCACCACTGCTGAATTCTAATGTGTGGCTTCACTTATTAGTTTATTATAACCACCATACTCATTATCATCTTTCTTCCCAACTGCTGGGAGCTAAACTCAAATTGCATTGAATAAGCTTCAGTTACCAAAAAAAAAAAAAAAAAAGTTTCCTAATCAAAGTGATTAATATGACTTGGATCCTGAGCCAAGAGCGGAGGTGGATTTTCCAAGGCTTGCAAGCATCAAGCCCAGACTAGACACTTTCCCCAAGGGAGAAGCGTTATTCAAATACAGCTCCCTGTCTTCTTCCAGTAATAGCTGGAGGAAAGTATTCATACATTGCACAATATGTGATAATTGATGCCAGTAAGTCTCTGCTCGCTTTAAAACCTATTCAAATGCATCAGCAAAGGTAGGTGGGGACAAAAAAATAATAATCCCCAAAACCTCCTTGAGAAATGTAACATTCCCAGCGGAAAATGCAACATGAAATTTTCCACAGTGGAGTATCTAAATGAGTGATGCATTTATACATGCTTCAACAAACCCATGTGATTTGCATGTCTCAGGAGTTCCTCCCATACCCTCCTTTTGCTTTTCCATTAGCATTTTGCTTTTTAGATGGCCCTCTTTATGTTGAGTAAAGAGGTAATGTTAACTTAGAATGGTTTTGTTGCTGTTGTTGAAAGGGAAATGTATTTTCAAGATGAAGGTCCTAATTGGAATTTATTCTCCCTCTAAAATGTTCTGCTGCCACTAGTGGAACAGCTTTCCTAGCCCTATGATCATATATATATATATATATATATATATATATATATATATATATATGTAAAGGTAAAGGTACCCCTGCCCGTACGGGCCAGTCTTGCCAGACTCTAGGGTTGTGCGCTCATCTCACTCTATAGGCCGGGAGCCAGCGCTGTCCACAGACACTTCCGGGTCACGTGGCCAGCGTGACAAGCTGCATCTGGTGAGCCAGCGCAGCACACAGAAACGCCGTTTACCTTCCCGCTGGTAAGCGGTCCCTATTTATCTACTTGCACCCGGGGGTGCTTTCGAACTGCTAGGTTGGCAGGCACTAGGACCGAACGACGGGAGCGCACCCCACCGTGGGGATTCGAACCGCCGACCATGCGATCAGCAAGTCCTAGGCGCTGAGGTTTTACCCACAGCGCCACCCGTGTCCCACTATATATATATATAAATATATATATATAAAGGTATATATATATACCTTCGTTTGCCTGAACTATAATAAAACATGCCTCTACACACACACACACACACACACACACACACACACACACAGTTTGAAAATGTGTATGTTTCCAGAGAACTTTTCTGTAATTCCAGCTTTCCAATATAGTTCCTGCCTACTTGAGGATGCATACAAATTAGAGAAGGCAGGATTCTGCTTTAAGTTCCCAGCACCTACTGGGCTCAGTGCTTCTATGTTTTCTGGAGGGAGGATAGCACATGTCTTGCATGCAGAAGGTCCCCAATTCAGTTCCTGGTATCTCCAACTGGCAGGGCTTGGAAAGGCACCTGGCAGAGATAATGCCAGTTGGAGTAGCAAGTATTGGACAAGGTGCTGCAATGGCTTGGACTGGCTAGGATGTTCATTTCAATTCTAAAGTGAAATTTTCAGGTGCCTAAGGGAGGACGCTTACCATTTCAAACAGGTTTTTCAGGAACAGAATTTCATCATTCAGAGAATCTGCTTTGCTACCGAGCTCAATCTTGTTCATATAGGCACCATCAACATCCTGCAAAAAACATGAGAAACGTCAGTAAATTTTGGGGTGTGGGGAGAATTAGAGCTATTTAGAAGGACCATCTTTTGAAACAATGCAGCAAATCAGGCAGGTTTTGTTTAATCTCAAAAGAATCCAATATTGCAGACATTGAATGTCGCCCCTCCATTTAAAAAAAAACCTTAAGGACAACATGGGCATTGAGCAGTTGTTAAAGGCCACAGCAGAATAGCATTATTAAATGTAGAAACTGTCTAAGATCTGTCACTATCAACCTCTGCAGCTGAAGACTCTTTGGTACTATGCTATATCAAGATCTGTCAACCAAGCCTGGTAGTTGTGTGCTAGAAGAGAACCAATGCTTTGACTCAGCACAGAGCAGCTGGTCATTGTTCAGGACCAGGGATGGTGAACTTGTGGCCCTCCAGATGTTGTTGGAATCCAACTCCCTCCGGTTCCAGCCAATGGCCAAGGATGTTGACTACAACATGTGGAGAACCATAGGTTTCCTGTCCTTGCACCATGTTACTTAAGATATTGTAATGATAAAATAAAATGTACCTTCTTCAGCACCACGAATTCATTCTCTGCACCAGTACGCTTGTTGATTTCATCTTCATATCTGTTGGGGCAACAGAGAGCAAAGGTAGCACCAGTACTTTTCAGGATGAGAACCTAGCATAGCTAGCAGAAAGAACGCATGAGGAGGTCAAGAGCAACCCATTCTATTCAGAGTTCACACTTCGCCAAGGCATTTGGTTCAAAGTGATTGGCTGCCAAATTATCTCCTTGAAGCTCAACACAACCAGGTTGTTAACCCTTGCAGAAGCACCATCTGCACAGTGCATGGACTTCTCCTTGGAGGACTTCCAGAGCATGTTGATAGATTACCAGGATCATGCTTTTAATGGCCAGCTGCAATTGTCTCCCGATGGCCTCTCTCGTGCTTTTCTTATTGTGCTCTTATCTATACTACTGCAGAGAGCTAGTGGAAGAAATGTGTGTCTGCAATGAATGTGTTACATTCAGGCTGTCAGGATCCACCCTCCTCCTTTAACTGCTAGATACACATTGACCCTTCTTGCTGGATGGATTAGCAACATCATTTAAATGTCAAGCCAAATATGAAAACAGAAAATTCTGCATGCATTTTAAGGGAAAGCATGCGCTATAGATTTAAGTTGGTTTAGCAATCCTCCCACAGGGAAACCCGGGAACTGTAGTTCAATGTGCAGGAGTAGACAAGTATGACAGTACTCTATTCTCTGAGCACTTTCAACCCACAATATTATATGGGAGAAGCCATTATTGGTAGACTAGCATGAAATAGATGTTTTTGCAGCATAGGTAAGCTGTCTTGCTACTTGCCCCACCCAGTTACACAGAGAGGGGGTGGGTGAATTAGTCAAATTCTGTTCTAAAGGTTCCTCATTTTTCCAATCTTAAATACAGTATTCCATATCTTCCACAGCAATTTGAATTAAAAAGAATCGTCATGAAAATTTGTATGCACTTTAAAGCACATTTTAATAACACATTTTTGTATTCAGTTTTAACGTACACCTTTTAGCCAGAAACTTTCCAGAATATAATGCATCTTTGTATGCTATTTTCATGAATACTTCTGTCATTATGCACATTTCTCCCTAATACATGCATAGTTTGGTAGAAAACTGCATTGTGAAATTCAGAGAAGTGCAAAATTTGACAGACGGCTGTGTTTCAGTTTGCATGTTGGTTCTAGAAGTGTGAATTAAGTAGGTTTCCCATGCAAATGCAAGAATGTCTCAACCCTCCCGAGTTTTGGCTGGGCTAGACTACTTAGGAGATACAAAGCGATTTGTTCTACAGATGCTTTTCTGAGGAGGCACATATTCCCCCCTTAAGCAATACTGAAAGGCTGTTTCATGCACCTTACATGTTTTTGGCATACATCTAATTTTCCCCTTTAGAAATGCTTTTAAAAATTGCAATATGTGAATAAAACAGCCACATGTCTGGAAACACGTGTCTCATATCACTGAGAGCCAGGGATTGGCTGGTGACCCCAGCTGAGCATATATACCGACTAGCTCCCATTAAATTTGTAAAATGGCTTTGAAAGGCAGTAGATGCCCCTGCTGTAAGAAACGACCTCTGTGCCATGGCATCAATGATGTAATGCTAATTCACTGTACAGTTTAATGGAATCTCTGATTGCTTAACTAGGTGTGGCAAGAGGAACTGTGGTTATGTGTTAGAGGCATCCCTTTTATGAAACTTCATGACTTAGGGCCAAGTGAACCCTTTTGCTGGGCAGGGTGGAGCTCACTTCAACAAGAGAAAGGCAGGAAGGATTTGCATCTCACAGGTTCATCCTTAGAAAGCTCTGCTGACGGATCTTTGGTAATTTAGTTTGCCTTGCAGCAAAAGGGTTTCAAAAAGGGAATTTTTTTGTTATAGATAGAGAAATTATTCTTACCACCATTTCATCTATCTCCTTTTTGCCTTGACAGTCATTTTGAGCAATTTGATGGAGAGGCACTGCCAACAGAGTATTAGGCAGCAATTCTAGCCATGTTTACTCAGAAGTAATTCCTACTGAATTCAGTGGATTTATGGCTAGGTAAATGGGAGTTGGGAATGCAGTCTTAGCTTCACCCATGAATTCTGCCAAGCCTTAGCCGACAAAAGTTTATACAGATTCAAGAACAGTTGTTTTGTTAAAGAAAAGGAAGCATGCGAAAATAACTTACAGTGCCACATAATACTCAGTCAACCTGAATAAACATGTTCATGATGTACAGTAAGCGCGCCCTGGCACTTCTATTTGGATCCTTTCAAGGAAGGTAAAGTTTAGTTCGCCAAGACTCCCAGAAAGAAAAGGAGTGACTTTGTTTGCCACAAAACAGGTTACTCCAGATCAAAGGACGCAGTGGATGTGCACAGGGATTTTCACCAGTGTATTTTCACCAGTGTTAGATATTTTGGGACCAATAGCCTATAAGAGCATTCAGATTCTTACCATATCTAAGGCTGCAGCCCTATCCACTCTTACTTGGGAGTTAGACCCATTGAACTTAATGGGATCAACTTCAGGGTTAACATATGCATATGCCTGGGCCAAACCACTAGCAGTAAATGTTACCCTTATCTCTCTGTATGGAGGTTAGACGGAGTATTCCTATTTATGTGAATTGGAACAGACAGGTTCTTACTTGTTCTTGTAGTCTTCCACCATGTCTTGCATGTTCCTCAGTTCTGAGTCCAGTCTTCCCCGTTCATTCAAAATAGAATCAAGCTGCCTCCTGAGGTTGTTGATATAAGTCTCAAACATGGGTTCAATTCTGTTTTGTCGAACAGTTGTCCCCTGCTGTTGTAAGAGGTCCCATTTGGTTTCAAGGACTTTATTTTGCTGTTCCAGGAAACGGACCTGCAAGATGGAATGGTAAAGGCATTGGTGGAGCTGTATATAGGCAATCCACAAATCTGCTGGACAGAAAGGGATGAGCTGTCCAGTGAGACAGATGGAGATAATAAGTGAAGACCCACGCTTGTTCAATGAAGATGTTGCCTTAACCCCTTAGTCCTTGTCTCCCAGCTGAAACGGAGCCTAAATGCACCTTCTCACATCTGTCCCTTCTTCTCCTCTCCTCTCCCCATTTGTCTCTTTCATCTCAGTGTTTAAGTTTAGATGGTAAGCTTCTTTGGCCAGGGAGCTATCTTTTGCTTATATTGCTCCCTAATGTGCCAGAATGGTACAACAGAGAACAGAAGGAATTATGAGGGATAAAAAGGAGAAAGAGCAAGGAGAGGAAAAGGGGTCAGGAAAATCAGGTTAGAATGGTGAAAACTGGCAGGAATGACCTGCAACCTCTGCTTAGACACTTTGCTACTGCTACCAGATTCTCAGCAAGCACACACTAATATCAACCAACCAATCAAGAGTCACTCCAAAGAACATAGACCTAGAATCATTAGGGAGGAGTTGATGCTCCGAGTAATCTTAAAAATTGTGTACTTTTTATATGCATATTTATTGGCATGCCTTTAAATAATAATAATATTAATAATATTATTAATAACAATAGGGCGTTAGATTTCCTTTATCACATTTAAATCTTGTTATACACCCGAGAAACTCTGACCAGCTGCACTCTAACATCAGTGACACCACACTGTCATCTTGCAAAAGAGATTTATCACTTTGATCTAAGTATTAACAGAACCATACATGGAGATCATGCTCAGCTCCAACAACTGAGGAGCTGACTGTGAAACGGATGCCAAAAGCGAGCCTCTGTGACAGAGGGTTCAGAAGCAATCAAAGGCTTCCAGAGTTAGACTACTTCACTCATTCTGCATTTTTCCTCTACTGGTTTTGGAGACTAGAGATGCCCAGCTTCTCCATGACTGGGGACCTCTCTATTTTCCTTGGAGAGGGTTTTTTTCACTCAGCCAGCCTCCGCACAGACAGTATGCCAGGAAATGACGTGGCCATCCCAGCCATTAACAATGAATCTACTCAACAATTGCATGCACACAATGTCTCTAGAAATTGGAATGCTTAATCACTCTTAAACATACTCCTACTTATAACACAGCCTCATGGAACAGCAACCTTTTTTACTTTCTTTTGCAGGTTTTAGATCTGAGACAAGGAATCAGTAGCCCTTCGTTTTGCTGTTAGACTGCCACTTCCATCAACCCTGGCCATTGGCCATTCTGGCTGAGGCTGATGGGATTTGGAGTCCAACAAAGCCTAGAGGCTAACACATTGACTACCCCTGGTCTAGACCATCTTAAAGAGCCATTGTGGTGTTGGCCTGATTTGGTGACAAGTCACCTGCAACTTAGTGCCTTGGTGGTTAAGAATGATCATGAAGGTATTAATTCTGGTACTTACCTTGTCAATAAAGGAGGCAAACTTGTTGTTGAGTGTCTTGATCTGTTCCCTCTCATGTGTGCGGACTCTTTGGATCTCTGGGTCAATCTCAAGGTTGAGGGGTTGTAGGAGGTGCTGGTTGACGGTCACCTCTTGGATGCCACCGGGTGGGCAAACTGGAAACCCTGGGCCACCTCTTCCACCAAACCCTGGAGAACCTACCATAAAGCCACCGGCACCACCCATCCCAGGCCCGCCAAAACCAAAGCCACCACCGCCACCGGCACCAAGACCATAACCAAACCCTGCTCCTCCACCAGCGCCATATCCAGCACTAACGAAACCGGGTTGGAAGCCCCCCATGCCGGCACCGTAAGAGATGCGCTTGCTTCCACCCATGTTGTACAGACTTCGGCTGCCGAATCCACCGACTCCAATGCCGCCGCCACCTCCTCCAGCTCTTGCTCCTCCAACCCGAGCAACGGAATAGGAGCTGAAACTTGATCTTCCACCACCACCACCACCACCGCCACCAACTATTGCGGAGCCAGAGCTGAAGCCTCTTCTTGCCCCTCCGGAGGATGATCGAAAGGATGTGAAACTCATGATGGTTTCTTTCAGAGAGAAAATGTGAGGAAAAGGTTTTGACTAGAAGCGGAGCTGCAGGGAAAGAGCAGAGGATGGAGAAGACGGAACCCCTCTGATATAGAGGAGCCAGAGACCTCCCCTTTTATCTGCTTGGGAAATAACCTGGCACGGGATCTCAGGCAACCTGATCTGCTCATCATCTTGATATGCCTTGCAGCAACTTGTCTCATTAAAACACACCTACTTGAGGCAGTAGTATGGAATTGGGAGGAGGCACTTGTTTGCAATGAAGCGATAGACGTTTCCCCCTTTTTATTTTTAGTTAGGCGTCTCGTTAAAAGAAAAAAGAAAAGAAGAGGGAAATAAGAATAATTGTGGAAATTACTAACCACAATTGCCACCCGCCTCCTTCTCCAACAGAGCCTGTTTACACAAGGGCAGATAAAGACCATGCTGTAAGATACAGATCTCCACAAAGTGTAGCCATGTGAATTTCATGACACCATCAGGAGTCGTCTTATGGTTTCCAGTGAGATGGGAGCAAACTTTAAGCAACTGTCTGCCTGCAAAGGTGGTCTCCTGTTCCCTCTTCTGGCTTTTTTTGGAGGTGGAGGTGTTGATGTGCATAAATGATTTGTCATTTGCAACAACATTGTACTGACAACAGAGCTTTGATGTTCCTATGTAGTTTTTCTGCACCGTGAACTCTGTGAAGTAGATTGCAGCTGCCTGACAATTGAATTACAGCTGTGGTTTGTTTAGCCCAATCCTGACTTCTCTGACTGGCACCCTCTCTCTGGAGTCTTCCCCAACCCTGTCAAATGAGATCCTTTTCTAGAGATCCAAGGACTAAACTGGAGGTGTCCTGCCGGCAATGCATAAGCCCTGCCAGTGAGCTTTGCTCCTTAGACAAAGATAAACTACCCAAATGCCAAGGCTAAACAGATGCTTGAATGAGGCTTACCTTTCTCTGAAGCCATCTCTGATTGCCCCTTGTTTAACAGTGCAATTCTATGCATGGTCACATAGAAGTAAGACCCTTGTGAGTATATTTAGGATTGCAGCCTTAAAGCCTCAACCGTCGGACTATAATGGCAGAGGAACTTTCACATGCGGCTATAGATCTTTGCATTATAATTCAAAAATGTTTGCAAGCTGAGCAGCTCCTTATCGCTGGTCTGGAAGATTTCTGGAGAGCAGAAAACCAAGAGGGTCAAGTGAATTCTAACATTGCTTTTTGCTCAGGAATACAGCATTTTAAGACAGGAAGGGGACTTAAGAGCAGAGTCAGTGGAAACCATTTGTGTAAGGCTGGATTGTCTACAGAGCATGGCATTAGACTACCACCGAGACAACACCCCATCACTGGAGGCAGCAACCAAGATATGCTGATACAAATGGATCCTACTATTCTGTCTTTCCTCTTGTTAAAGCATCAGTTCTTTACTGACTTTAGGTGGGGAAACAAGCAGAGAGGGAGGGGAAGAATTAAAAGCAAAATGAGACCACCAACATCTGCTTTCCCAAAGTGCCTTACTTTATGTCATTATGGTTTCTGTATTTTGTAACATTTCATTATCTTATTTTTCCTCCAAGGAGCTCAAGGTGGCATATGTGGCTCTCCTAGATTCCCCACCACACTCCTCTCTAGGTTAGGCAGAGAAACAGTGAGTTGCCCAAAGTCATGCAGTGAGCTTCGCAGCTGTGTGGCGATTTGAAACCTGGTTTCCCAGGTCCTAATCCAACACTCTAACCACTATCCAACACTGTCTCTTATTTTTTAGAAGAAAGGCAGCTCTTATTAACAACAACAACAAAACGACCTGCACAAAAACGTTCAGTTTGAAATCTCCCACCGCCAATTTCAGGTCAACATTACGCATTAAATACCGTTATATTTGTTATTCCATTTTCTTGCATTTTAGAAATGATGGTTCCAAAATATTTGTAACGGTTTGAGGTCAGTAGAAAATCTTAATTTTATTTTTAAGTATGTTTTCAGAATTAAGCATCAGAGCAATTATGCATGCAATTCTTAAACCAATTACTCCAAAGTCGCCTTAGCGGCAAGGTTTCAGAATCAGTGGTTAGGAAATTGCAGTGTAGAGGTCACTAAGTGCAAGCTATGAACTGTGAGAAAGCACTTCATGTGCATCCTTGCTCAAGGGGAATTTTTGACTTTGGCTTTCTCATCCTTTAAGAGAGTAGAATATTTGAAAGTGGGGAAAATCCACCTATGGATGTATACCAATAACCGAGCAATCTGACAGCTTGATCCTGTGTTAGTTGAACTTAATGCTTCCTTTTTTATTCTGTTCAACCGGGCTTCATTGTGGTTTATGTGGCCACAAGAATGCTAAGCAAGTCTCTACCTGGTCAGTATCTGGATGGGGAACCACCATGGAGCCCAATGGAAGCAATTCTGCTCTATGCAAGAGGCAGAGGAGCTTGTAACTCACAGGATCAGCATGTTTCTCTCAAGCAGACAATCCTTGCTCTCACTGTCGCTACATACAGAGCTGACGACTGCACAGCATGACTAGAATTGGCAAAGTCACAGCATGAGAGTAGGAGTTTGCACAGTCAGACCTGTAAGGTACAAGCCCAGAGATCGTATCCAGACTGAATGGCTGAAGGGCACCAAGCATTGTCCCATTGCTGGAAACTTTTCCAAGATGAGGGTGGTGTTTTCGGTTCAGTTCCTCCCCGCCTCCTTTTCTTTTTTCCAGACTATCAAGAGACTTGATGGAACCTGAATCAAAGGCCAATTCCATTTCGCACAGCAATCAGAAAAATCTGATGTTTGCACAATTCGTTCTGTTTCCAGGCATTCCTGTCCCTGCACACCACCAATAACGTGAGTCATTCACACCCGAGGCTCATTGAAGGAGGATGTGTTTGATTGCTGTTTGTATTATTTAGCATAAATCTGCTTCAGCTGCATGGGCAAGCCTGTACTGTAATCCTGGAAGTGTACAAGTTTGGGAGAGCATTACTCCTTGGGTGATCCTGGCAAACTCCCACCCCTCTGAGCCATTCCTTAGTCCTTGTGGAAGATGTCAACGCAAAAGTTGAAAACATTATTTAAAGTTGGATTCATTTTTGACCTATGCATGGATTCACTGTACATTTGAATCTGCTTTTTTTAAAATAAAAAAACTACATTTTGGCACGTCCTCCCCACTACCCTGAAAGAGAGAGAGAATACATTGATATTTTATAAGTTGTTTTATTGTTTCCAAGTGTTATTCCTGTTTCTGATTTTCATGGCATCAGAATAGGTTTAGACGAATCCCTTTGCAAATTTGATACATTGCCATAGCTGAAAACTTCATGCACATACATTCATTTGCATTCACGAGGACCCAGACATGTACAGTGTTTGTTACAGTGCAAGTTCCCTAACATTAGACAGTTTTTCAAATACACGCATCTGACCTTTTAAACAACATTCTGCATTTTTATTCCTCTTATATAACAGTTTAGCTCAAAATGGAACTTCTGGGCGAGTTTGTGTGAGTTGGGGTGGTGGTGGATCAGATTCAGGGCTGCTCTTTTAGAACAATTCATTCATGGTGATTGGTGAGACTTACACCAATTCTGGCAGGAAAAGGGGGGAAGTACAGTGGTACCTTGGTTTGCAACCGTCTTGGATTACAACCGTTTTGGATTACAACCGTTTTGGATTACAACCATGTCAAACCCATCAAAACCCCCTTTTTTGGATTACAACCCAATTTTTTTTTGGGGAGGCCCCATTGGCGAAAGCGCGCCTTGGGTTACAACCTGTTTTGGTTTACAACTGGACCTCCAGAACGGATTATGGTTGCAAACCAAGGTACCACTGTATGTGTTCATTTTCTTGTCTTGCTCAGGTTGTTGGGGATTCTTTAGCCTTTAGCTCTTGATGCTCTTTTGACTGGTGGAAGTTTTAGATATAATTTTCACACCAGAGCTGCTTCCTCCCCCAGTGCCTTTTCCACTCCCAGAGCTGAAATTGCCCCCTCCTGAGCTAAACCCACTGCTGCTGCCTCCGCCGCCTCCTCCTCCAAAGCTAAGACCACCAAATCCCCCTCCTCCTCCTCCAAGACCAAGACCAAGACCACCAAATCCGCCGCCGCCTCCTCCTCCAAAACCAAGACCACCAAATCCGCCTCCTCCTCCTCCAAGACCAAGACCGCCAAATCCACCGCCGCCACCTCCAAGACCAAGACCGCCAAATCCTCCTCCAAGGCCGCCACCTCCTCCACCGCCACCACCGCCTGCACTGGAGCTGACAACAGCTGTGGGGGGAAAGGGGAAAGTTTATTAGGTGCCCATGGGGTTGACAAACTAGACAATTCCATCTCCCCACCCCTGTTATTCATGTTTCTAATATTAAGTTCAATTTCCATAGCAGTTTGCATATACGGTCGTACCTCGGAAGTCAAACAGAATCCGTTCCGGAAGCCTTCGACTTCCAAAACGTTTGGAAACCAAGGCGCGGCTTCCTATTGTCTGCAGGAAGCTCCTGCAGCCAATCAGAAGCCACAATGGACATTCGGGTTCCAAAGAAGGTTTGCAAACCAGAACAATCACTTCTGGGTTTGCGGCATTCGGGAGCCAAAACATTCGACTCGCAAGGCATTCGACTTCCGAGGTACGACTATTTTTAAAAGTTCTGAAAATTCACCAGCATTTTAGTGCACGTTATACACATTTTTGCAAACAGTTTCCATATGCATTTTGGTATATAATTCTCCCTCATTGCATTTAAATGGAAGTTTCCCCCTAACATACATATTTGCACACATTGTTTTTGGAGAACTTAGTTCCAAAATTCAGTGTGAATTTTGAAGGATGGCTGTGTTTCAAGCTTGCATATTGTTTCAGGAAATTATATTGGTTCACATCAAATTGAGAACTGAAGCAACTTTCTTCTCCATTCCTAGGTATCAGGTACAATCATCAACTCATAGTCTGGGGTGGGGTGGGGGGAGAGAATTAATTGCCAAAATTTACTGTTTTTCTTTTGCTATTTTAGCCCCACTGGTCTTCACCACTGATGGATGCAACTATGGATCAGTGAAGGAGGACATGTAAAAAATAAGGTAAAGGACCCCTGGATGGTTAAGTCCATTCAAAGGTGTCTATGGGGTTGAGGTGCTCATCTAGCTTTCAGGCCAAGGGAGCCAGCATTTGTCCACAGACTGGTCATGTGGCCAGCATGACTAAACTACTTCTGGTGCAACGGGACACCGTGATGGAAGCCAGAGTGCATGGAAATGGAGTATGTATGGATAGACAGCAGGAGTTGAGCGCATGATCCAATGGTGGGTAGGAGTGAATGGGGAATTCCCACAGCAACAGTGCTCATCACTCTCATGAGCTACCTGACTGGGATTTTGATCTGGACATCTCACCATAGGTGGAAGGCAAGAAGAGGGGAAAGATACTCCATCCTATTTGAAAGCAAGAAGAGAGCTGGTTTGCTGGTGATAAAAGGAGAGGGCATGGCTGAGGAAGAAGCCCCTTGGAGGAGACTGGTAGAAGGAGGAGGAGGAAGATTGGGCTGAATCAGCAGGCTTTCCTCCTGTGTTATGGGACTTAGGAGAAAAGTCCTGTGATCCTCAGCAGAGTGGATGTCCACTGGACAAACCAACTTGCTGCTTTTATGCCACCCCTCCTGGTCCAAGGCAGTCAATGGGAACTTGCCACTAAGAGCCTTGCTTGCTTACAACACTGTGCAGCTCCCTTCCCATGGTGACTGTGGGAATCTCCCTGGGAAAAAGGGGCCAGCCTTTTCCTTGGAACAGCCCCAGCTGTGTGCTATTGTTCCCAGCTGGTAGCGCTGGAAGAAGCTGCTGCCTGGAATGAAATACCAAGGAAGGAATCCGATCAGGTGCCTAACTGGGATGGCAGCCCTTCAAGATCTTCTCCAGGGTTTCCAAAACATTTGGCAGCTGGGGCATAGCCTCTCCCCAGATTAAAACTGCAAGCTCCTTCCACTCTCACATACCAAGAGATGCGTCTCCTGCCTTGCAACTCTGGGACAGCCTGTTTAATCTTGTCTCCTGGCATCCCTCTCTCCTGTCCGTTTGCTCAGTCATTTGGGCCTCAGAGATGGGATGCTGCTTTCTGAATTATAGGGACTCCCCCACACCTATGCCTATAATCTGTAGTGCAGGAATTCCCTGTGCATCATTACTCCTTTGTAATGATGTCAGTGTCCAGATATTGGCAGAGGGAGAGAGAGAAAGAGCAATGATCAATGCTGCGTGGAAAGAGTCGTGGAAATGTCTAACATGGCAGCTTAGTTCATCAAGGCACACCAGCTGGGGCCGGAGATCTGAAATATTCAGTTTCTCCCAGCTTCTAAATTTTCCAGTGTTAAGTTCAGTCCACATTAGTTTGGGTGGAATTCAACATGGTGTTAAGTGGGGTGTGCATGTGTTGAATGAGGTCTACTTGCACAGCAGGACTGTCCTCTCTCCTCCCCCTCTGTACCCTATGTGCCCCCTAGAACTGTTGTGGGGATTTAGGGGGTACAGGGGCATGGGAGGTGGGTGAAAGGGGCAAAGTACCATTGCATGAGCAGACCTCATTCCATGCATGCAACAACTTAGCTAAATCTGGCCTTTGTTGTTGTCATTCTGCACGGAAATATGTATGCGTTTTGTGCACGCTTACTCTAATATAAGCATTTTTATTTGCAAATGTTCTCTTTTGCATGCAATTTTCCCAATTATTATATTGTAATATATTATATTTGCTAATATTTCATGCACATTTCCTTCTAATAATGGACTTTTTATATCCAGCTCTTGGCTGGATATATAACTGTTGAAAAATTTGGAGGTGCAAATTTGGAAGTACAGTTGTGTTTCAGTAGGCGTGTCAGTTTTAATGGATGCACTGGTTCAAGAAACGCAAATTGCTGAATGAATTTCTTCACCATTCCTAACACTTTGCCCTTCTTGTGGTGCACAGTGTACTCCATGCACCATTTGGGAATAAATGAACTAATCATCATCACATTATTAATAACTTATTCTGGACCAGGCAAATAAAATAAAATGCTCATGATACTTACAGATGCTTACAGGATTGACTCCTTCTCCAGTTAGCCTGTTGAAGAAGAAATAGCAAAATGAAAAATGGCTCATCTATTACAATGAATATGGTCTGTTGTATATATAAGGGACAATGTTATCTGTTAAATAGAGTTTCCAACAGCTACAACAATATATTTCCCTATTTGGCTTCCTGTGTGGTATATACAGTATCAACAAAAAATCTACTGAAAATGTACTTAAGATCTGCAAGAATTTGGAAAAATAATTGATGCACAATGGAAGCAAAGATATTGATGCTTAAGATCTGAGCTGTAAACTTAGAGCAATACCTCAAAGACTCTCAAAGTCCATTGCACCACAAGGAGCACTGCTTTTCCTACTGCAACAAACACTCCATCACAATTCACAAGAAACATTTTATTTTGTGTTTGAAGAAGATAATCAAATGTTGTATTACTTATTCTTGCAATTTATAATAATAATAATTTGATTATTTATACCCCGCCCATCTGGCTGGGTTTCCCCAGCCACTCTGGGCAGCTTACAACATATCTAAAAACATAATAAAACATAAATCCTTAAAAAGCTTCCCTAAATAGGGCTGCCCTCAGATGTCTTCTGAAAGTCAGATAGTTGTTTATTTCCTTGACATCTGATGGGAGGGTGTTCCACAAGGAAGGCACCACTACTGAGAAGGCCCTCTGCCTGGTTCCATGTAACCTCACTTCTCACAGTGAGATAACCACCAGAAGGCCCTCAGAGCTGGACCTCAGCTGAGTGACGGGGGTAGAGACTTCAGGTATACTGGGCCAAGGCTGTTTAGAGCTTTAAAGGTTAGCACCAACACTTTGAATTGTGCTCAGAAAAGTACCAGGAGCCAGACAAAGCAAACTTAACAGGCATCCATTGATAGAGTTGTGCCATTGCAGATATTGTTTCATCTCCACATAGAGTCCCCTGCAAAAAGAAACTGAAGCAGCTCATAAAGTTATGATCACTTTATCCAGCTCACCTGTTCTCCTCCCCTTCCAGCAGCTTCCTGTAGGTGGCAATTTCAATATCCAGTGCCAGTTTGACATTCATGAGCTCCTGGTACTCCCGCAGTAGGCGGGTCATTTCTTCCTTAGCTTTCTGTAGAGCATCTTCCAAGTCAATGAGCTTGGCTCTGGCATCTTTGAGAGCTAATTCACCTCGCTCCTCAGAATCCGCAATAGCTGTCTGCAGATTTGCACACTGTAAGAAAGGAGGTGTTGTTAAATTCCTTGTCCTCTTTAGTCATTAGTATTTGTACATTCATTATTATTGCTATTATTGCAATCATGATTATTACTGTAAATATTCCTGCTATCATCATGCATTCATTTATTTCTTAGTCTTTGAATAAATGAGGCTGCAATTCTATTTTGTAAGGCGTGAACTTGCTTTTGAGTCTATGTACACAGGGCTGCTCATTTTGGGATATAAATTTTATTTCCGTCCTTCCCAGATTCTATTGTCAGTTTTCATTTTGATGAATTCCCACACTTTTACAAAGTTCCAGCCAAAAACAGGCCTTCCTCTCCCTGCCACCCCACAAAGTATTGGCAAGGCTATCCAATGCAGATGGCCTCTGTCATGTGACCCTTAACCAACACTTGCCTTTTAAAGCATTGCTACGTTGCCTACTGAGAGAGAACATTGCATCAATTACAGATTTTCTTACCTGGTTCCTGGCGTTTTCAATTTCTGACCGTATCCTTTGAATCATCCGGTTGAGCTCTGAAATTTCTCCTTTAGTATTACGCAGATCATCGCCATGCTTCCCTGCACTAGCTTGGAGCTCCTCAAACTATTACAGCAGGGAAGGGAAGGGAAGGCAGAGATGGGTTGAAGGAAAGACACAATTACGCAGCCCTGGTCAGCAATGAATGCCCTCGATCTGAGAAAGCCCATTTTCAAAGATTCTGCTCATCCACACTCATTTCTGGCATTGGCTGTTGGGAGGTCCAAATGGCATCACCAAGAGGACCGGATTGAAGAAGCTAAGAAGAGCACTGTTGGATCTAGCTAGCATCCTGTTTCCCCAGTGTGGCCAACTAGATAATTATGGAGGAAACCTACAGGCAAATCCAGCAAAAAAAAAATTCGCTGTTTTTCCTCACTGACTGGTATTAAAAAGTACTGTATTTTTGCTCTATAAGACTCACTTTTTCCCTCCTAAAAAGTAAGGGGAAATGTGTGTGCATCTTATGGAGCGAATGAAGGCTGTGCAGCTATCGCTGAAGCAAGCAGAGCAAGAGGGAGTACTGCTTTCACGGCACAGCGATCCCTCTTGCTGTTTTGGCTTCTGAGATTCAGAATATATTTTTTTCTTGTTTTCCTCCTCCAAAAACTAGGTGCGTCTTGTGGTCTGGTGCATCTTATAGAGCGAAAAATACGGTAATGGTGCCTCTCATCCTTCAGGCAGCTAACTGGTTAATGACCAGTTAATTTAGGGACTGCCAATTGCTGGCACCTAACACTCAATTCAGTCACATCTCAGCTGAAAGGCCATGCCACATGGGTGAACTTTGCAAATTTGATATCTGAATTAGTCTCTCATGTTCTGAATGTGTTTTTGGCTCAAGATATTAGACTGCTTAGAAAGTTAGAGTAGCCCATGTGGACTTTCTCTATTTCTCATCAGGAAGCAGGATTCAAACTGTTGTGCAAGTGGATTTCTGGGACTATCCTGGCCACAATCCAATATGGAGATAAGATTTATAACAGGAATCTTGAGACTAGATTGTGACATCTTGTAGACCAAACTAGATGTGACATGTTAAATGCACCCTTGCATTTTGTAGACACATTCTTTAAAATGGAAATAGCAGCCACAGTGGCAGAGGAGAGACTGATAATTACTGGGATCACAGCAGTTGGGGAGCTGGCATTTAATTCTTTCCTTCCCTGCTTAACTATGACTGCCCCCCCCAATTGCTTCATATTTACTCCATTTCAACCTCCCCACCAAGCTTGAAAGATCTTAAGCATCTCCAGACCCATGTTTTATCAGAAGTGTCCTCTGGATGTACCAGGGTCCAAGGCCACCTTCCATGCTAGAACTGCTCACCTTAGTTTGGTACCATGCTTCTGCTTCAGCTCGGCTCCTGTTGGCAATGTCTTCATATTGTGCTTTCACCTCAGAAACAATGCCATTCAGGTCCAAGTCTCGATTGTTATCCATCGAGAGGATGACAGCAGTATCAGACATGGAGGCCTGCAACTGAGCTAGCTCCTGGAAAACATAGGAGACAAAATTTGGTTAGAAAACATTTCATGTTTTGGGGGTTATTGGGGTGGGACAGGATCAGATCGGTAGGTGACCACACATCTGCAAAATGGTCAGCTTTCTAGGGAGCAGGGTCACACGGGGGAGACCTTGACATTCATAACAAACAACAACAATAATAACAACTGAAGATTCCAAATCTTCAGTGGCAGATGAATTTTGGATCTCTAATATGAAACATCAAATCTTTCTTCTAGACATCATTAATAGCATCTAAAATTAGGACCATTGTTTGTGAGAAATCACATTAGGACAATGTAAATCCAAATATTTAGGAGGGAAAGCAAAATGTAAAAGAAAGGATGGTATTTAGAAATGTCATGCTTCTTCACATTGCCGTCTTAACATTTATCATCCTGACTTTTAGGTCTATGTTTTGAAGGTAAGAGGAAGACTGAATACCGATTCATAGAGGGCCCTCAGGAAGTTGAGTTCATCGGTCAGGGAATCCACCTTGGCCTCCAGCTCCACCTTGTTCATGTAGGCAGCATCTACATCCTAAAAAGACAGTAAGAAACCAATTTTTTGTGGTTTTATATTTTGATTTTGTTCCGTGAACTTCCCTGAGACCTTTGGGTATATGGCAGTATATCAATTCAATACATAAATAAACTTTGCTTAGATTTCATTCGAGAGAAAACAGTGAATGGGCACAATAAAAAAAAGATGCAAATGTCCACTCTTAAGGAGATTCATTATGGAGTTATAAAGGCAGTGTTCTTTAGAAGCTTTTGTTATTATTTTTCGCTCCCTTTTTATCTCAGAAAGAGCAATCTTTGTCAGCACAGACACTATTTTGCTCAGCAACTAGTCTTCCTGGAGGGTGATTTGTGGAATAGTGGATGGTGTCTTGGTCCAGAAAATGGCCTAAGAGCAAATTAAGGGTTTCAGGGAATAGTATTAGGAACAGAAATGGGAGCAGAAGTAGACACAATTTGCATACTTGCCTGAGGTCAGGAACCCAAACCACACAAGCAGATGTAAGTAGTATCCACTATACTTCCTTTTTTAAAATCCACAAATGTTATATTAACAGTTACATTATTTTCTGCATTTTTAAAAATGTTTCCCTTCCATTGAAATGTATTGAAGTTAATTACGTAATTAATTACATATTTAATTGCATTAGTTTTGGCCATAGTGGATAGCAAGATGAATAATGTAGGTCATAGCAGAAGTTGAAGTGCAGTGGAATAGAAGCAGGAATGATTGTGATGAACGCAGGATAGGATGGAAATCACTGCCTCCTGACACTCATAGAACAAATTCACCTCCTCCTGACACCAGTTTCTCAACTCTTTTGCCCCTAAGTTTGTAAGTGGGAGGCTAGTAAAAGATTTAGCTCCAGATGCTGACCCTTTGCTTACTTCAAAAGTCACTCAGAATATAGAACCAGTGAGATGCTTGCTACAGATGGTCCTGGAGAATAATCACATGTGGAGAGGGAGAGCTGCCACCTTCCTTAAATAGTGCCCCTGCATATTCGCTTTTAAAGCTGGCTCAGAATTCATGCCTTATGTGCACATTTCCCTCCAGCTTAGTACAAAATGCACCAAGAGAAGTCACACCAAGCCAACAAGTCCTTTTCTTGATGCATGAAACATAATTTGGTCAGATATAATATTGGGTCCCTCTTAATTAACTCAGCTGGTCATCAACCTTCGGAGCACGAAGCCTCACCTTCTTGAGCATGACAAACTCATTTTCGGCAGATGTGCGCCGGTTGATTTCCTCTTCGTATCTATCAGTACAAGAAGCAAAAAGTTTCAGTTTGTAACTATTACATCTATTCAACGTGCCTTTAGGCATTTCAAAATGAACCACAATGATATTGTCGTACATAGCACATATTGCACTTATTGCCATAAATCACCTCTGAAAACTTATCTACTTCCAGTGTGTTCCCAGTGTGTAGATATGATGTTAGGATAAGGGCCCTGATTGCAGAGTCTTTGACTCTGCTCATCCTATATATCTGCAGAAAAATACCCCCCCCCAAATTAGGGTGTTGTTAGGAGTGTGCCTGCAGAACATAGACCCCCATATTTTTTTGTATGTGCCCTGAGTGTTTCTGATTGGTACATGAATTCAGGGGGAAATGAATGGGTGTGTTTGTGATTTGATTTACTCACTAAGCTATTGATTTGTAGGAATAACGTAAGGTGATTTTATATAGTGATGTTTTTGGTATAATGGATGGGGTTAATTGAAAGGGAACCTGATTTGGTATGGAGTGGTATCTTTGAGATATCAACTGAAGTACAAATTAATTTAAGAATTTATCTGGGATCATTTGGATGGAAAATTAGTTGGCTCAGCTTCTGTGACATTTAAATTCAACAGTCGCACCCATATATCAAAGTAGCATATGAAAATATTATGCAAGCATACGTCTGTGAGCCTTTGGCCTGAATTTCCTCCAAATTTCAAAAACATTCTCAAAATATTCAATTACCATTGAAGCTGCCATTAGTCAACTGGTTAGTACCCCATATAGCCATTGCCTTTATGGATGGAGGCAATCTCTGTGCTGGATGGGGGTGATCTCAAAGGACCTAGCTGTACAGTCCACAGGTGATCATTAGATATCAGCAGATCATTAGATATCAGCAAACAAAACAAAACCTGAGAAATTTTATCTTTGGCAATTTGCTTCCCAAATTCTTTGGATGCATCACTCAAGGTGTATCCATATTCCCCACCCCCGACCCCGAGGCATCCTTTGGTTTCAGTTGCAAGGACCACCAGCTCTCACAGGAATCTGTCTGTCAAAAGTCCTTCTTAGGGAGCCTTCATCATGAAGGTGCATGGCAACTTGGAAAAGGGACTTTCCTGTGTTGGCACCCCAACTCAAAAATGCTTTCCTCCAACCTGCTCACTTTGCTTGCTGAGTTTTATACAGCAGGCTATGACTTTGTTTCCTTTTCAGTCTTCTAATGTTTCATTATAGGGACGCGGGTGGCGCTGTGAGTTAAACCACAGAGCCTAGGACTTGCTGATCAGAAGGTCGGCGGTTCGAATCCCCACGACGGGGTGAGCTCCCGTTGCTCAGTCCCTGCTCCTGCCAACCTAGCAGTTCGAAAGCATGTCAAAGTGCAAATAGATAAATTGGTACCACTCCGGTGGGAAGGTAAACGGTGTTTCTGTGTGCTGCTCTGGTTCACCAGAAGTGGCTTAGTCATGCTGGCCACATGACCCGGAAGCTGTACGCCGGCTCCCTCGGCCAGTAAAGCGAGATGAGCGCCGCAACCCCAGAGTCGGTCACAACTGAACCTAATGGTCAGGGGCTCCTTTACCTTTACCTTTAATGTTTCATTGAGTTGTGCTGTTTTACATGCCTTTCTTGCTGCTTTGTAATTAATGGGTGTGCTTTTGGAATTGCTATTTTAATAGTTTTGTTTTTAAACTTTGGAAGCCACCTCAATTAAAATAATCATAATAACCAAACAAGTAAACTACTGGGTGTCAGTTTTGCCTTTCAGGAGTTAAGAAAGCATGTAAAGCTGAAGCCAAAGGTTCCAACTTCCATCTGTTAACCTTAACAGTCAAGGAAGATGCTGTGGGACTTGGCTGGAGAGGTTGTGGCACTCCTTTCACCGACTGTGACAGGGTCCATTGGTTTTCAGGCTTGGAGCTGAATGGCAGCCAGGGTAATTGAATTTGGGCTCTAGAGGTATTCCTCTTTCTCTTGATTTCTCTGCTCCAGAACAAATGGCTGCTTAATCTTGGGGTGGGGGTGGGGGGCTGCTTGAGGAATTGTACATGCCAATGAAAAATAAAGTCATACAAGAAATAATGTTCATGTTAGTAGCATAGCTGTCAACTTTTCCCTTTTCTTGCGAGGAATCCTATTCAGAATAAGGGAATTTCCCTTAAAAAATGGGAAACATTGACAGCTATGTAGCATAGCACAAAACCAGTAGCCTATCCCTAGCAGCCTGCACATTGCAGAGGTGCATAGAAGCACAGATGCGCTTGCAAAGCAAATTCCCTCCATGGATGACTCAAGCAGGTGAGGCAATCCACAAGCTCCAGACGAAAGCAATTAAATCCCCAATTCTCATTAGCCAATCTGATCTGGAGGCAAACTCTCACATTAATTCCACCTTTGACTGACAGGTCTCATTGTGTCATCGTGGTGTGGTCTGAGATAGTAGCCCTCATTGTGTCATCTGGGTTTTGGGAGTTTCCCCTGCGCAAACTGGCTTCGTGCCAATTGAAACCTTTACGAGTTACTTTATCTTTGCACTAGCTATGAGAACCAGGACTGGCCCTACCATGAAGCAGTGAGGCCACCTGCCTCAGGCAGGGATGGGGGAGAAATCTAGTTTTATTTGCATCTTGATGAGAAACCAACTAATTCACACTTGTCAAACCAATATGCAAACCAAAATTGTCCTTGAAAGTTCTCTGCAATTTGATGCAGTTCTCCAGCCAGTGTGTAAAATATGCATATGTTAAGGCAAAGTGTGCAACAGAATGCATACAGCCGTAAAAGTAACATGCAAGATAATAGGTTATACAGTCACAGAATGCATTATATTAGGGGAAATTGCTTGCAGTAATCAGTTTATTAGTAAAACTGCATCCAAAATAAGTGTATTAGGAGAAATTCAAATTAAATTCTGTTTTTTAAAAAATCAAATTGCTATGGAAATGTGGAGAACTGAATTTAATATTTAAAAAATGAGAAAGTGAGAGAGACCAAAATTGACAGATTTGACCACTCCTAACCTCTGCTGACAGATTTTGACACACACATGCACACCCCATTTTTCTAAAGCATTAAACCCTTCTGTTCAGATCATTTCAGTCCCCAGGGTAGCTCCAACTGTTAAAGAGTAATAATCATAGTAACATCAAGAGGGTAATCAAAGTGGGCATATCTGGCCTGCGTAGTCCAACCAAGTCTTGGTGGTACATTGCCAATTGGTACCTTAATCCAGGACATTGTTTGAGTATGCACCAACTTGGCACTCAACCTCGATGCCTTAACACTCAATAGGAACCAGCAAAGCTTCTTCATGGCTGAGGCAAATTCCAGAACACGCTTAACCCAGGTGTGAGGGACAGTTGACTTGTCATCAGTCCCATCCTTCATGGCCAATTGCTGGGGATGATGAGGATTCAAAAACATCAGGAGGGCCAAAGGCTCCTCACACTTGGCCTAACCCTTCGTTTCCTCTACCTGGCCTGCCCCTCTCCCTTCACCACTTCTGCCCATGCCTATCTTACATACAAATCCCCTTCCTTAAGCTCATTGGGACAAACAAAAGAAAAACAAAGAAATCGAATATATCTGAACCAAGAAAAGAACTGTCAAGCAAAATAGTCCTCAAAGCCTAACTACTGGCTCACTTCAATTGTCAGGACTGGCAGATGTTAAGGTAAAGGTAAAGGACCCCTGACAGTTAAGTCCAGTCACGGACGACTCTGGGGTTGTGGCACTCATCTCGCTTTACTGGCCAAGGGAGCAAACGTTTGTCCGCAGACAGTTTTTCCGGGTCATGTGACCAGCATGACTAAGCCGCTTCTGGCAAAACCAGAAGCAGCACACGGGAAATGCTGTTTACCTTCCTGCCAGAGAGGTACCTATTTATCTACTTGCACTTTGACATGCTTTCGAACTGCTAGGTTGGCAGGAGCAGGGACCGAGTAAAGGGAGCTCACCCCGGTGCGGGGATTCAAACCACCAACCTTCCGATCAGCAAGCCCAAGGCTCAGTGGTTTACACCACAGTGCCACCCGTGTCCCTTTAGCAGATGTTACAATCCCCCTAAACTGGATCTTCTCTCCCTCTCACTGAGGCCTAGTCAGTGTACTTAATTCTTCTCATATGGTAGGTTTACCATCTTGCTCTTGCAGGAGGAGCAACAAAACAAAGTCCCAGTGATACAGAGAAGACCAGCTACCAGAGAGTAATGCTCCTGTCCTTATTCCGCAGGGTGTAACCTGCCTTAGAGTATCTCTGGTGTTTAGGTGGAGCTGCTGCACAGATATGTGTGATCATGGCAGACCAAGAGAAGCATCTCTAAGTGAAGGTGGTCTGGCTGTCAGCTAATTCAGCTTCTATGTGTTCATATGTGTATGTCCCACAAGCAGCTTTTCCATATTAATGTCTTCCCAGTTACTTAAAAAGTTGGCTTTCTCAGCCAGTAGCTTAAAGAGGGCTGAACCAAGCCTTGAGGCAAAATGTCCAGATTCTGATTCACCATATCCTGGTTTGACTCACTTTGAAAAGATTTGCCACTCTGCAGTCTGAACTATTGTTGTGGCATTTGCAAAGTTGGCCCAACATGCTAAGAAGCTCCAAAAATGCCCATTTCTCTTGATTTCAACCACATCAAAAATGAATGACTGAATGATTCAGTCTTGAGTCAGTAGCCAGTTTCCACTGCTCCCTGGTATTATTAGTAATTGCTTCTATAAAATGTTTTATCGGCATACGCTGATATTAATCAGGTTGCCTTTGACATTTATTTAATTGCCATGTTGTTGCAGTTATGGAAGGGGTAAGAGAGTGGCTTATTTTCATATATTGGAGATATTCAAGAAAGGTCCTATTTAAATAACTTGTCTGAAACAACACAACTCTACATTTGGACCAAGAGAAAAGCGTTGATCTATCACGACTGCAAAGTTATTTTTCAGAAATACCAGTATGAATCCAATATACACAACAGGAATAATTTTATACCACTAATATACTCTTTTAACATCTAGGGAAATGTGATTAATACAATGTCATCGATGTATATGACACAGTGCAATATAAACAAAACATTTCCATTTCATTTTGTATCAGGGAGTTTAAAATGTTTGACATTAAGTTTAAGTTGTTAAGTTGGATGTTTTATTATGTTTTTATATGTGCTGGAAGCTGCCCAGAGTGGCTGGGGGAACACAGCCAGGTGGGCGGGGTATAAATAATAAAATTATTTATTTATTGCAAAATGTATTATGTGTATACAGGAGTACATAGTACATATAGGAATGGGTGCTTGCATATGTCTATGACAATTGCATTTGACACTGCATATAGCATGCATCCCATTGTATGTAGAGTCTACACACCAGAGGGAATCTGAACAGCCTCTGTATTTAGCCAACAAGGGTACATTAAAGTGGGCATTATTACAGCTACTCTGCTACTTTCTATCTCTGCCTATGAAGATGATTCAAAAACCGCAGCTAGTAAGAATTCGGCAGCCAGGTTAATCACCAGGGCAAGATGATTTGAGCATATTACACTGACACTGGCCCAACAGTAGTGGCTACCAGTTAGTTTCCAGGCCCAATTCAAAGTGCTGGTTTTGACCTATAAAGTCTTAAACATTTCAGGACCACAATACCTCAAGGACCATCTCTCTCCATATGAACCTAGATGAACCATGAGATCATCCTGAGGCCCTTCTTTGTGTGCCTCCTCCACATGAGGTCCAGAGTGTGTCAACACAAGAACGGGCCTTTTCTGCAGGGGCTCCCTGTTTGTGAGATGCCTCAGGGAGGCTCATGTGACGCCTTCATTATACACCTTTATGTACCAGGTAAAAATGTTTCTCTTCTCCCAAGCCTTTGGCTGATTAACATTCTATGTCCTTTTAAATGTGTTTTGTGGGATGGTGAGGCTATTGGTTGCTTTTGTTTTTATTTTGTTGTGTTTTTATCTTGGTTTGTTATTTTTTTGTCACCCACCCTGAGATCTAGGTAAGGTAAAGGACCCCTGGACAGTTAAGTCCAGTCAAAGGCCACTATGGGGTTGCAGCACTCGTTTCGCTTTCAGGCCAAGGGAGCCGACATTTGTCCACAGACAGCTTTCCAGGTCATGTGGCCAGCATAACTAAACCACTTCTGGCACAACGGGACACCGTGATAGAAACCAGAGCGCATGGAAATGCCGTTTACTTTCTCGCTGCAGTGGTACCTATTTATCTACTCACACTGGCGTGCTTTCAAACTGCTAGGTTGGCAGGAGCTGGGACAGAGGAACGGGAGCTCACCCCGTCGCGGGGATTCGAACTGCCGACCTTCTGATCGGCAAGCCCAAGAAGCTCAGTGGTTTAGACCACAGCACCACCCACGTCCCTTTAACCCTGAGATCTATGGATGAAGGGCGGGATACAAAATAATAATAATAATACTTTCTAACTCTGCACTCTCAAGTCTGCTGGAATAGCAAATAAATATCTGGCCCCCCCATCAGATATTCACTTACTTGGTCTTGAAGTCTTCAACAAGATCCTGCATGCTCTTCAGCTCCCCATCCAGCCGCCCCCTCTCATTCATCAGGCTTCCCAGCTGTTTCCTTAGGTTATTAATGTAAGCCTCAAAGAATGGATCAAGGTTGCTCTTGCTGGCACCAGTTTTCAAGCCTTGATCCTGCAAGAGGGTCCACTTGGTCTCCAGAACCTTGTTCTGTTGCTCCAGAAAACGGACCTGAAACAAAGGAACACATGAAGCTCTTTCTACAGAATCAGAATCCCAGTTCAACTAGCCCAGTATTAAGAGGAGTCCCTCTGGATCAGGCCTAAAGCCCATCTAGTCCAGAATCTTCTTCTCACAGTGGCCAACCTGTGGGAAGTGCGAAAGCAGGACCTGAATGCAACAACTCTCTCACCACCTGTGATTCACAGCAACTGGTATTCAGAAGCATGCCATCTCCAACACAAAATTGTTTTCACGGCTAGTAGCCATTGATCTTTCTCAACATTGCAATAATAATAATAGTACATTTTTATTTATACCCCACCCTCCCCAGCCAAGACCGGGCTCAGGGTGGCTAACAACCAATAATAAAAACAAGTTGATTAAAATACAATTTAAAAGATTAAGATACAACAGTAAAACAATTAGGGAGCAATCTCATCATAGGAGGAGAAAGGAAAAAGAAAAAGGGGGAGGGAATCAAACTGATGCTGAGCCAAAGGCCAGGCGGAACAACTCTGTCTTACAGGCCCTGCGGAAAGAAATCAGATCCCGCAGGGCCCTGGTCTAAAGAGACAGAGTGTTCCACCAGGCCAGAGCCAGTGTTGAGAAGACCCTGGCTCTGGTTGAGGCTAATCTAACTTCCTTAGGGCCCGGGACCTCTAGGGTGTTGCTATATATGGATCTTAAGGTCCTCCATGGGGCATACCAGGAGAGGCGATCCCGTAGGTACGAGGGTCCTAGGCCCTGAAGGGCTTTAAAAGTCAAAACCAGCACCTTAAATCTGACCCTGTACTGCACCGGGAGCCAATGCAGCTGGAAAAGCACTGGGTGAATATGCTCCCATGGCAGAGACCCCGTGAGGAGCCTCGCTGCAGCATTCTGCACCCTCTGGAGTTTCTGGGACAGCTTCAAGGGCAGCCCCGCGTAGAGTGAATTACAGTAGTCAAGCCTGGAGGTGACCATCGCATGGATCACTGTGGCCAGGTCGGGGCCACATATGAGATCCTCTTAACTGGAGGTGCCAGAGGTAGACCTACTGCAGGTTGACTACCACTGAGCTACGGCCCCTTCACAGCTGAAACAGCTTGTGTGGGTTTCTTTTTCCAGGCAACCCTCGTGAAAAATGCAGATAACTTGATTTACAATAACATGTGGCTTTGACATTGGTATGGTGACCCCATCCCAGCTTAGCCTCGCTATTTTATATGGTTCTTACTGTGTGGTTTTATGTATTTTGCTGTAAACTGCTTTGATATTTTAAAATGAAATAGCAGTATATAAACATTTTTATAAATAAAAGCAGTAAACGGGGCAGTGTGATTGCCTCATCGCATCTTCAAACTGAAACGCATCAGACCCTGAAGAAAACCTTGCAAATGTGCAAGCAGGGATTTGGGGAGTTGTGGTCTGGAGAGAGGCATGTTGGAGCAGACCTCACAAGGAACAGAACACAGGAAGCCGTCTTAAACCTGATCAGGGCATTTGTAAATTTACCCTAATATTGGTTACTCTGACTGGCAGTAACTCTCCAGGGACTCAGGGAGGTCGTTACCATCACCTGAAATCCTTTTAGATGCAGATGCCAGAAACTAAAACTGAGGCCTTCATTAGGCAGAACATGCTAAGCTAAGTAGTAAAGGGGGTAGAAATTGTGCAATTATTCAGTTAAATGGTAGCTCCATGAAAAATAGTCTAAATCCTCATTTTCCTTTCCCAGATAAAAGGAACAGAACCAAAATGAATTTTGAGTGAACAGAAAGCTCAACCAAATCCTCCCCTAGTTTAAATTTGCTCACAAAAATGCTGAATTTATATTCTCCCACTTGAGTCCTTCCTCCACAATATTTCCAGTTATGGTTGATGGGTTTTAGATTAGAATGAAGAAACAAGACTTTTAACTATTCAGTTAGACTACTTTTTGATGGGGGGGGGGAGAGGAAATATCCTAAACCTTGAACTTAAAAAGTGAAATTCAAATTCATATTCTGATGATTTGACAAACACTCTGAATGGGTTTTTTTGTGTATCTCTAGGAAGATTGTTATAACACACATACACCTGAATTTGTAAGCCAGCCAGCCACCCAAACTCAACTTGTCTGTATGCTTACATGTTAAGACATATGCGTTTGTCTTGAGTCTACCTCCTTATCCTCACATAAAGCATAAACATGGTTTTCTTCTCTTCCTGTACTATCCTACAACAGCTGAACGAAGTCTCACCTTGTCAATGAAAGAAGCAAACTTGTTGTTCAGAGTCTTGATCTGCTCCTTCTCCTCTTTCCGCACCTCTTGGATGGAAGGATCAATTTCCAAATTGAGCGGCGTCAGGAGACTTTGGTTAATGGTTACTTCTTGGATGGTGCCACCAGCTCCAGGTCCACCGCCACCAAAGCCCAAGGAACTTTTGGATCCGCCAAGTCCGCCACCAAAACCAAATCCACCACCACCCAAACCAAAACCACCACCTCCAGCTCCCCCGCCAAAGCCATACCCACCACCAGATCCACCACCCAAACCAAATCCACTGCCGGACCCTCCACCAAAACCTAGTCCGCCGCCGCCACCAAATCCACTGCGGAGGTTGCTTGCTCTGCTGCTGGAAATTCTCCTATTGCCACCAAAATTATAAAGACTCCTGCTGCCAAAGCCACCGCCACCTCCACCGCCACCAATACTGATCCTTCCAAAACTGCTGCCGCCACCGCCACCACCGAAGCCAACTCCGCCAGCTCTGGCAAGAGAAAGTGAGCTGAAACCAGATCTATTGCTACTTGGGACAATGGCAGAGGTGGCGGTGAAAGCCCTGCCGCCGCCTCCTCCTCCTCCTCCAGCCCTGATGCTATAGGACTGCCGGTTCATCTTTGTGGATTGCCTCTGAGAGACGTTGCTACGGAGGAGGAAGCCTAAAGTGTGGTGCTCTGGTGGGAGAGCCCTTGAACATGGCTTCTTTTATCCTCCGGGGGCCCTGGGTTTGGCTGCTTTGGAAGTCAGGAGATCAATTTAGCGCATTCATGATTTTGACACACCTGGAACGCAGGTGTCCAATTGGACTTGTTCAATGCTAATTGAAGAGAACACACACACACCTATGTAGTGATAGGTGCTTGCATCGCCTGAGGCTTTATGATCAAATTACCAAGTATTCAGAAACCAACCATGTGTTAAGGGTTAATCTAGCCAGAAGTTGTCAAATATTTAAAGGAAGTTCTGCTTGCTTGCTGGCTGGCTGGCTGGCTTGCTTGCCTTCTTCTTGAAGAAAATGCTGCACAGCATAATAAATTGTATGCAACTGAAACACTGAGTTTGAAAGGGGATCGATCAGCTTTGGCTGTCAACATTAATTTGTGTGCGTTATGTTTTGTCATTTCATAATGCATGATCTTGTAGTGTTGGTTCAGCAACTTCGTGTGCCTTGCTGAGATTATGCTAATACAGGCACATCTCGTTTTATTGCACGTTGCGCTTCACAGGTATTGCTCTTTGTGAGGAAGCAGGTGAAGCTTCAGGTAGCCTGGCTGCTTTCAGGGGACGGAAGACCCTGTCCCCCTCTCTTCGGGCCCTGGAAGTGGAGCTGGCTAGGGCTGGAGATGGTTTTTTGCCTTCCTGCCCCTGCAGTGGCAGCGGCGGTTGCAGGGTGGAGCTGGATTAATAGGCTGCAGTGTAGTGTAAACATAACTTTTATGTGCACTGGGAAACAACATAAATGGTGTGGCTTGCTTATTGCAATATTCCCTTTATTGCAGTGGTCTGGAACCAAACATGCAATACAGTGGTACCTCGGGTTACAGACGCTTCAGGTTACAGATGCTTCAGGTTACAGACTCTGCTAACCCAGCAATAGTACCTCGGGTTAAGAACTTTGCTTCAGGATGAGAACAGAAATCGTGCTCTGGCGGCACGGCAGCAGCAGGAGGCCCCATTAGCTAAAGTGGTGCTTCAGGTTAAGAACAGTTTCAGGTTAAGAACGGACCTCCAGAACGAATTAAGTTCTTAACCCGAGGTACCACTGTATCTCTGAGGTTTGCCTGTATGTCCATATTACAGAGCTGCAGAATGTATAGAAAAAGGCACTCCCACATTGTTGGGTCACCAGGCACATACCACACATACCGTTTAATCATAACTGAATCATAAACCTGGAAAAGCCACTACTTTTAAGCATGCTTTCTTTAAAGTTAATTCCCTTACCATCAACAGGAGTTCAAAGAAGTATGTTTAAGGTGGGAGTGTTGAAATAGAATGTTACCCCCTCCCAACAGTTTGTACTTTGATCATTCTGTGCTAATCCCCCCTTTTTTCTTTCTAGTGCCACCATTGCAGCTGAGATGTTCAGGAGTTGGATCCCTTTCTCTATCAGCATAGACTAAAGTGTTTGAGATGTTTGAGATTGCAGGTAGTGGTGGGGACCACGATTAAGGAGTGAGCATGCTAGAGGTTCATAAAATTATGAATTATGAACTGGGGGGGGGATACAGAGTAAATTACATAAATAGGAAGACTTCAGGTTGACATTTTAGCTAATTTGTAGGAGGTTCAATAGACAAACACTCACAAAATTTGACCCTTCTTGTCCTCTCTCTTCATACATTTCTACCACATCAAATGCCAAAATATTAACAAGTGTCTTAATCTTTTGAGCTTGAGGCCCTTGACAAATGTCCTTCCTTCCTGCCGCCACCCTCAATTGGCCCTGCAGGTGATTGGTAATATTATGCTGTTTTTTTCCTCATGCTGCTATGTTTTAGTTAATTAGTCTTGTGATATGTATTGCACATTATGTGACCTGTTGCTTTTTTCTTTTTAACCTTGGCCTTTGGGAGATGTAGTTATTCAACAAATCTAAAATCTAATTCGCCCATTCCAAAGTAGCTTAGATTTACTGTTGCTTCAGTAAGAAAAGAAAGTTGTTGTAGTCAATACTATTTGTTCAAGGAAAGTCTTCAAGCTACACAGTTTAAATGCACAATTTAAAGACCAAAAGAAATCACTAATTACCTGTATGCTAGCCATAGACAAGGTTCTACTCATTTCCATTCATTTTATTCCAGAACAGTAGGCATGCATGGTCCATCATACACATCAGTTAGTGGCTATGAATGGCACGGAATATTTTTATTAAGAAATATGCATTTGTTCAAATATTTGAACAAATATTTACATTCTGATGCAGGTGAAATCTACATATGTATCCACTCATCAGCTGCAAAGGAAATGTTTTGAGTATTCAGATCTCCCTTCCTGGATGTTTGTGTGTGTGTGCCAAACTGGGGGACATCAGAATTTTCAGTTGCAAATAAATACTTGTAAATAAATAGACTGCAGGAAAGCAACTGTTGGTTAAATAAATTCCAGAAGTGCATTAATAAGCAGCTGTTTGAAAAGAGAAGGGTGGCTGCACATTGGTTTGACTTGACTTCATGTAATCAGATCCGTTTAGGAGCAAAAGAGCTGGCAGGCAGAGCATGTCAGCTTCCAAGTTTTGATGGTTGATTTCTCAGCCCTTTCTTGTAGTGCAGAGGAGGAGCCGTTTCAAGTCCACCCAACTTCCTGTGCACTGAGGGGGAACCTCCTTGGGCCTACTGAAAGGTCTGCTTGTGTTTTGAGGGGAAGGTGATACAAGCTAGAGGAGCAGTAAATGGAGATGAATTTTGTAGGAAACGTGGTACGTTTGAATTCTTAGCTAAATGTTTTAAAATTGTGTTGGTTTTCATAGTATTTAGTTGACATTTACATTATTTTTAATCAGTTTCATAAGCTTCCTCAGATATCCTGGTGCCCTCCAAATATTTTGAACTCCCTGATTCCCATTAGCCCTAACCAGCATGGCCAGTGGTCAGAGGTTATAGGCACTGCAGTCCAACAGCATATGGAAGGCACCAAACTGGGGAAGGTTACTCTTGTACTATTGGACTCATCTAAATAGTAAGCATCAACCAGGCAGAGGGCCTTCTTGGTAGTGGTGCCCACCTGTGGAACGCCCTCCCACCAGATGTCAAGGAAATAAACAACTATCCGACTTTGAGAAGATGTCCACAGGCAGCCCTATTTAGGGAAGTTTTTAATGTTTGATGTTTTATCGCATTTTTAACATTCTTTTGGGAGCCGCCCAGAGTGGCTGGGGAAACCCAGCCAGATGGGTGGGGTATAATAATAATAATAATAATAATAATAATAATATCATCATCATCAAAGGGCATTCATTGGCTTAGCTCTACATCACATGTATACCCTCCAACATTCTTTCTGAGTCTTTCTGAGTAAAGTAACAAAAAGTTTACTCACATTTCAGTTCACGATTTGATCCCTACAATTTTAACTATTAAGTAAAGGCAGGCTTTACTTTGTAGTTACACAAAGAAAGAGTGAGTTCATCTCATATGGAGACTGAATTCATGTGCTGCTGGCTGAGGGCCAGCAGATAGCAAAATTACATTTAGACAACAAAATGGCTACAGGAGAGCAGCATGGCAGCAAGAGATAGAACAAGACAACAGAAAGATCAAACAGGCTGAGAAAATGGCTGCATGACTTGGCTCTTTTGTGGAATCAGCCCACCTCCCAGGTCACATGCAGGGGGAGGAAGCTCCAGACCAGTGGAAGAGGAAATTACAGACTGGATGTCCCCCTGCCTGTGCCCACTCTAGGGAAACAAGGAATGTTGCATTTGACTGCACCAATGGATCACACCCGACATACAGTGTGTTGTCGTTGTCGTTAATTGCATTTATTTCTGATCTTTTTCTCCAAGGAGCTCAAAGGTGGCATACATGGCTCTCCACCCCATTTAGTCCCCCACATTCTCCCCTTTGAGATAAGTTAGGTCGAGAGGCAGTGAGCCATAGCTGAGTGGGCATTTGAACCCTGACCTCCCACGTCCTAGCCTGGCACTCTGAACACTACACCACACTGGTACATCTGGCATCGCCCTTAGGAGTGACATTGTGTTCTGCATGCAGCTCTAGCTAAACAATGGAGCGCAAGCTTTGCGGATCCAGGTTAAGTCGTTGGCACCTGTTTTTAAAAGGATTTCCGGTTTCAGAGCTGGGGGAAACCTTCGGTCAGAGACGCTTCACAAGTCTTTCCTGGAGAGCTGTAGGCTGCGATGGGTGAGACGGATCAGTTTTCAAACACTTCCTAACCTCCCAGGAAAGAGAAAATATTGCAGAGTGGATGTGTGTGATCACACTGCATCTCAAACATGAGGAAGATAATGAGATTAAGGGTGTGTCAGGGTCCAACAAAACGGTGGAAATTCTGCCTTCAGGCTTTCAAACTGCAGCTCACTGCGTGTAAGGTATTTGTGCAATGTGAAGGCTAGGAAGCTTGAACAATTTCCTCAGTTGACTCTCTTCCAGGGCTGGCTCAGCTTCAGTTGTGGGAAGCAAGATTATGGTTCATTTTTAGAACAACAAAGGCTGCAGTTAAGCTCAGGGTTTAAGTCAATGCAGGTCTCAGCTAGAATGGCATGGGGCAGGTTTGGATGTGGAAAACCCTGGATGAAATCCCTGCTTAGCCTTGAAGCTCACTGTCTGGCTTTGGGTTAGTATCTCTCTCTCTCCTTACCCTGCTGCACTACTAAAAGATGAGATGAGACAGTCCTTAGTATAATGGTTAGAGTGTTGGACTAGGAGCTGGGAGACCAGGATTCAAATCCCCGCTCAGCTATGAAGCCACAAAGACTGACTTTGGGCCAGTCACTGCTGGAATCTAGACGCATATAAAAAATGTTGTGAAAATACTTTTTTGAAAAACATTTTGAAAAATATATAGAATTTGCCATAGCTCACCATCGCCATCTAGTGACACATTTGTATAATGCACTTTTAAAAGGTAAAGGTAAAGGACCCTGACAGTTAAGT